TGCTGAAGGGTCTGCTTTAAAAAAAAAACTTAAGAGGTGGGTGGGTGTTACCAATGCAACCAACTATGTCCTGGCCAAATGAAACCAGTAGTATTGTGCTTGCTGCCATAGGAGGAAGTGATTCTGAAAGTCCTGCTTTCAACAGCGGTTCTCTTTTACTTATTTCCATCTATAAAAGGCACACAGTCACATAGTATGGGTTGCCAGAGCCCGGGACCGCATGGAGGGAGGAGTGGGAGGGAAACAGAGTACATATGTGCATTCAACTGCCTAATGGCGTCAGTGTCACCCAGGAAATCACAACCACAGTGATAGGCAAAGAAGAGTTGTTCCGTTGTCTGGAGAGATCACTTCCTGGTTCACATGGAGAAACCATTTTCAACCAAGCCTAGCAACGGAAGCGTGCAGCTGTATTGAGACACCACTAGGTGTGGAAATTTTGTGTCCCTAACAATTTTTTGCCTGGGACAACCACCCCATGCACCCCACACACACACAATGTTACGTCATTGTAGGCCCATAACCATCTTTATAGGATGCCCCTAAAAGGCTACTGTAAGCTAAACACAGCACTGGGACTTTGTGCTGTCATTTTGCTGCTACTTTTATCTTCCTGTAGCAACCACCCACAAATGACCAACATCCATTCAAACAGCTGATCCATTTGAAGTCCAGCTGCCTGCATATATTGCTCTTTGGAAACCTTAAGTATTATAACAAAAGGACTATTTTTGTTGTTGTTGTTATGCTTCCTGCCCAGTAAACCTACAGGTGAGGAGGCAGTAACTGAAGCCATGTGAAAAACCACCAATGATGAAGCGCTAAAAGACTTTAGACCTAGATAATTCTATCAGGTTATCCATGGACTAAAACAACACAGATTGTGTAACGCAGTATGCAGTTCTGAGTTTACTCTACTAACCTACTTTCTCATACTTCTAGACTTCTCATACTGCCAAGCACCATACTGACAGCTCTTTAGGACAACCATCTCAGGATAAGAACCTCCTCCTAAAGTACTTGAGCTTTTCTCCTGAAAATCCCACTATTGATGCATTTCACAGCTTACAATGCGGGCAATACCCAGTACAAAAGCAATACTCTCCAAATGTTGTTGGATTCCAGTTCTGACCAGGCTCAGCCAGCATGGCCAATGGTCACAGATTATGGGAGTTGTATTCCAACATCTGGAAAGCACCATAAGAAAAGCAGTGTTACTATACATGTTTACTCAGAAATAAGTCACACTGTGTTCAACATGGTTTCCTTTCAGGTAAGAGGTACAAGACTTTTAACCTAAATCTGGTTTATGGAATGGGACCTTAACCTGAAAAGTCCTTCACAATTCTTATTTCTAACAGTTCTCTGAATATTTTTAATACTCTGCTTTTTCCAGGTAACTATCAATAAAATAGTAATGCAATACAAAAAGAAATGTGATAAATATCAGATAAGTGTATCCTGTCTCTCCTCCAAGGGCCTCAGATACACTTTCTACGATTGCAACAACTCTCTGAGAAAGGTCAGGCAAAGAGACTGCAGCAAGGTCACCCACAGAACTTTGTGTCTGCGGAGATATTACAGCCTTCATCTCAGCAGCCCAAATCCAATGCTACCCATTCCTTTATGCCACCACATCATTTTAAAGATGGAAAATAAGCTTTTTGATACACAGTTCAATGCAGTATAAATGGATAAACCCTGCATTTCAATGAAGTACTATAACCTGAGTTAACATTCAAGCAAACAACCGTACAGCAGGATGAAGAGCATGATTTCAAAGATACATGCTGATCAAGTGAAGAACAAGTCAATATATATAGTCTCGGTCTCAAGGGCTGCATGCACTCCTTTTCTTCTTTGGCCATGATCACTGCTCACATCATCAAATAACAACATATGTATTCCCCACTAGACAAAGATGTCCAAGCATCTATTCTTTAACAGAAATATGTTTGTTATACTCTATATATACACTATACTGTGTGATTATACTGGGTGGTATTCAACTAAGTTTAATTAAAAAAAAAACATGGCTAGGTTAGGTCCATTAATTTCTGTAGATCAACTCTTGAGTAAAACTTCACTGAATACCACCCACTATATCCTCCTTGTACATGTGGACAAGGATATATAAAATATCATTTTCCTCCACAGAAGGAAGAGCAGCATAGATGGGGAAACATCCATTTTGCGTAGATTTTGAGTGAAATTTTTGAGTGGGAAAACAGCCTGAAGAGAAAGGGTTAAGCAGCTCTTCTTCCATCCCCTGCTGTTTGCCCACTAAAATGGGCTGCTTTTGGTTTAACAAATGTGTTTTTGAAAATTGGGAAATGTACTTTGACCCTTATACAGACAAGGGAAGTTATGGACAATGGCCTCATTCACAAAGCACGGTAAGCCATGCTATGGTTTACTGGGAACGCATAAATGTGCTGGCTGCTGGATAGTAGCTTGTAGCTGCCTGACTCCCTCCTGGTCCTTTCTGCTTCTTGGTTACAGTGCATGGCTATTGAGGAGAAATTAACCACAAGTCCTCCTAGTTCAGATGACACGCTAAGACCAACCTTGGGTTAACTCACTGTGATGCAACAGTAAACAGGACCAGGGAGGAGGAAAGCAGCTGCAAGCTCATCTTCAGGAGCCCCCATGGTCCCAATAAGCCATACTTTGCTTCACTGTGTCAGATGAACCAGGCCATTAAGCAGAGGAGCATGTATCCTGCTGTCAAAATTCCAGCTCTGTGCAGGTACCACTGTTTTTCATTACCTATCAGCCTCAGTTTCTTATCTACAAAACAGACAAATTAAGACACAGTAGCTGTAAAATAACTTGGCAGTTTAAAATGTAGTAAAAAATGACACAAGCATTGAATAAAACTAATGAAAGCCTACTCGTATTGCAGAGAAGCTATGCAAATGTAACCTCAGACATTTATTCTACATTCATTCAATTAAGGCCAGATCCAAAACAGATTTTTTAGATGGACCCCAAAGATGCGACAGGTATATATATATATATGCTTTGTCTCCAAGGCACACCCTGACAGCCTTAGTTTTGGGAACTGAGAGCACTGTTTCAGTATTTCTGGTCCTTGCTGTTCAGTGGTTTGGTGTACTTCATTCTGCCTTGAGCTCAACTGATCCAAACAGCAGACAATGACCAAGCCAAGACCAATGTAGAAGAAGAAGAGTTTGGATTTGATATCCCGCCTTTCACTCCCTTTAAGGAGTCTCAAAGCGGCTAACATTCTCCTTTCCCTTCCTCCCCCACAACAAACACTCTGTGAGGTGAGTGGAGCTGAGAGACTTCAAAGAAGTGTGACTGGCCCAAGGTCACCCAGCAGCTGCATGTGGAGGAGCGGAGACGCGAACCCGGTTCCCCAGATTACGTGACTACCGCTCTTAACCACTACACCACACTGGCTCTCTGGTTGTAGGCAACCCTGACTCTCTGTACCAAAATCAGGAGTTGGTATCTGCTTTTTCAGGAGACTTTCCCCAAGCAAACCCTATAAGCTAAAGTGTCCTGCTTCATTGATATGGCTTATTGGATCACAGAAACATAAGGCAACTTCAGACATGCACATAGCATCCTGTTGCTTCCATACAGCTGCTCTTAAATGGTGTACGATCTTTAAGATGGGCATTTCAAGTGCTCATGCATAATAGAAAGAATCACACAATAGGGGGGAGGCAGATTTAGCATTAAGCTGGCAATTATATTCAACCGAGGTTAGTTTTTATGAGAAAGTTGGATAGAAACTCTATTCTGATTAAACTTCTCTCACAGGTGTATCAGAGCCATTCAGGAAACCATCTTATAGAGGACAAATCTACAGATACGAACAGAAAACTGGGGAGAACTGACCCTTGTTTTCATGCCTCTCCCTTTGAGGCTGCTAAGGCCTGCTAGTATTGGAGACAGTAGCGGCTGCATGCTCTCAGTTTGCGTGGAAGACCTGTCTTCTAGGCTCCCTTCCTGCCTTGTCAGTTACTACAAGACATTCTTCCATCCAAGATCACCATCAAGCCCATTCAGCTGGTGAACCGTGAGCAGGCCTTCCATGTGGAAGACTTGGGTTCACATCTCATGGTACTGACAGAACCCCAGGGCCTTCAATAAGTAAAGGAATGGGGGAAGATGTGACACACTCTATGAATAAAGCATTCATGCACCAGCCCTTTCCATATAGTGTTAACAGGGCAACTGATGCCATTCACCACTAGCATGCTAACACTCCATACTAATACGCCGCTGCCCATGGCAAGTACATCTATTCATGTCAATTATTGCTCTCCACGGACCAATTCTCCCCCCCCCCCAATATGAAGGAGTTCACCTAAAACACATGCTTGAGAAGACCCCTTACCTGTGGCCTGTGACCCGCCTCATTTCAGCCCCCTTAATGCCACTGTGTGAAATGGGAACAATAAGGCATCTCACATGGTTAAGAGCACTAAGAAAGGTGGCAGTCTCACACACACCTGGGAATGTGTGAGAACCCAATGGGACCCACCTACACATAACTGCTCTTTAAAAAATAATAATGAAGAAGTTACAAGAATAGGAGTCGCAACAACAAGTATTCAATCCTATGCATGTTTACCCTGAAGGAAGCTCTCGCCGGGTTACTGCTAGGAAGAGGAGCCAACTTCTAGGGGCCAAGGTCCCCATTAAAATATATGAGTGGATGGGGCACCCCAAAGTTGATGGACATTGCCATTAAAATGGTGCGATTGCACCCCATCACGTGATTATGCGGGGCGGGACTTACCCCCCCCCCCAATATTTTATTCAAGTTGGCAATCCTGTTCCCAGGTCACTGGTTGCAAGTTGGGACTGCCTTGGTTTCTGTCACCCCCTTCCTCTCACAGCAGCCTCCTTCGAAGGGTTGGTGGGTGAGTTTTTAAGGTGGGGCACACGGGGGCAGAGAGGTTGGACCGTTCCCTCCCCTCTCCTCTCCTCCCCCCACCTCACCCCTGCCTCGCTCTCCTTACCCTGGCGGCGCGGGAAGAGTAGGGGTCCTCGAAGAGCGCCCACATGCGCGGCTGGAGCCTCTTCCAGCGGCCGCCCTTGCCGTCGAGCGGGGCTCCGAGGGCGGCGGCAGCGGCGGCGGCGGCGCCCACGTCGTCGATGCCCAGTCGCTTGGCGGCCAGCTCGTCGTCGTCGGGCTCGGCGGGCGGCTCCCCGGTGATGAGGTCGGGAGCCTCGAAGATGTCGAGCGCCTCCTCGGCGTCGCGGTGCTGTCGGTACGTCATCCAGCAGCAGGGCTCCACGTCGGTCTCGTCGATGCCCCAGAAGGCCAGCTCCTCCTCGAAGAGCGGCCCGCACACGTCGGCGGGGCAGTGCAGCTTGCCCGTGCGGTAGTAGTTGAGCACGTAGGCGAAGACGCCCGGGTGCCGGTCGAAGAAGAACTCGCAGCACGTGGCGCCATTGCTGCGCGGGCTCCAGGCACTGCCGCCCGCGCCGTCCAGGGGGACGCCCGCGCCGCCGCCGCCGCCGCCTCCGCCCGGGTTGGGTCCCGGGTTGGGGGCGGGCAGGGGCGGCGGGGGAGCCGGCAGGGGCGGCGCTTGGTGCTCTTCCCCGCCGCCGGGGGACTCGCAGGCCAGCAGAGCCAGGCGGGTGCCCGGCAGCGTCTTGAGGGTGCTCCGGTAGGTCTCGTGCCTCGTGCCCCCGACGTTGAGGATCACCCTCTCGTGGTCCTCGAGCTTCCCCATCTCTGTGGCTCAGACATGACTGCGGGAGAGAAAAGGAGAAGAAGGAGGAGAGAGGCGCCCAGAGGCAACAGAGCCGGGTGGCTATTTTTAGGCCGCCTGGGGAAAGGAAGACGTCGATTGCCATGGGAGAGTGGGGGAGGGGCCACGGCCACCACCACGTGATAATTGCCCCCAAATTTGAATGGGAGGTAGCAGGGAGGGGGGAGCAGCTTCCTAGAGGTTGCACCTTGCATGGAAGGGAAGGGTAGCTAGTTGCATCTTCAGGGGAAGGGGCGAAGCCCTTCGAGAAGGGACGTACAACCAGGCGTCGCGTACCCGCCCTGAGCCTACAGCCCCCTGCTGGTCTTGTCCAAAAGAGGGCGCTCTTCCCAACCTACACCGTTTCCTGCTGGAACCCAGAGCCAGGTCACCAGAGGGACTTCCCCATGTTGTTGTCGTCTCCGTTTCCCTTGTCCCGCGTTTGCCTCCCCCACTCCCCATATCCGCCGTTCTCCTTAACAAAGCCCAACCCCATGTCCCATCCCTTTTGGCCGCCCTAGACTCTGAACCCTCAAGTTTCCCGTCTAAGTTCCTCGCAAGCAGTGGCAAAGAACGCAGCTCAAGGGAAAAGTTGCTCCGCCAACGACCCTGGAACCAACCTGGCGCTCCTTCCAGCTCTTCCCTGGGCACAATCCGGAGCAGCCCCCTTGCCCCACACTCCTTCCGCCTTCGCCTCTCCTGCTTTCAGATGGCTGCTCTTCCTCATCCTTCCATCTCCTCGCCCTCCCTCCGCTTGAGATGATCCGGACTCTGCCTCAAAGCGCCCCCTCCCTCCACACACACACAAACACCCCAATACAGCCGAGGCTCACACCGGAATAGAGCCGCTTCTCCTTGCTAGCAATCAGTAGTCACCTTCGGCAACCATCCCTCCTCTCTGAATTCTTTCGTTCAAGTTGTCTGGACAAACATGAGGAATTAAAACGAGGTGCTCTTTGTCCATCTTCTGTCTATTAGGAGAGAAATCTACAGGAGACATCTGGGGTTGACTAGTGATAACCAAACACACTTTGCGCCCCCCCCCTTCCCAAATCCAGCAGCGGGCACACCCTATAGGATCTGTTGTCGTGTAACCTTAGCAGCAGATTTCTACGGTCCTCATCCTCGCCAGATTATACGTGCAGGTTAATTTCAGGACCGAGAAGCAGATGTAATCAGAAATGCGCTGCTATGGTTATCCCCCTCCCCATGCCATCCTTCCCCATACCTTGGTGACACGAGAGAAAGAGGCTGCTCTTCACATTGCAAACGCTCTTTCCTTCGCAGCTGCCTCCAGACTCGGTTGTGTTGGTGTCAAACGAAGAACTACTTGTTGTAGCCGGGAAGAGGGGGCGCTCCTCCCATCTTCAGGTGGCCATGCCAGCGCCCTTGACTGCCAACCCCGAAAGCAAGGGAAGCAGCCCCCACCTGCTGATAGGAAACCTCTCTTCAGTCATTGTGCCTGATCGAGGAGACGCTTTAGCTTCGCGGAGGAGAAAAAAGCATCACAAAAACATGGGGGGGGTAGGCGAGGGTGTCCTCCGCAGGGTGGGCTCAAAGCGTCTGAAGGAGTCGGCGCTGCTCCATCCAAGCGCCTCTCCACTCGCTCCAGCTCCAAGGTGAAAGGAGCGCTGCTGCCAAGGCTTCCCCTGCTTTTCAAGAGAGGCAAGATGGGAGCTGTCCCTTCAGCACCATTCTCCAGCAATTACGTGGCAGGCGACCCCATTAGCCTTGTTTTCTCGGGTTGCGCGATTGCTTCGATCGCTGAAAGCAGACCAAACGCGACGCAAAAGCCATCTCTGAGGAATGCACCTCCGCTCCTTTCACACGCTGATTTCACTTCGGGGGAAACAGAGCATCCGGTTGGGGAAGAGTTGTTTACCTGACAGGAGCAGTGAGGATGGCACCAGCTACAGGTGAAAGTGAGACGGAGTAGGCTTTAGAAGAAGAATTCTGGATGTAGGAGGTGCAACGGCAGTCAACAGCAAGGATAAGGGGAAAGACACAAGGATGTGGCTGAACGTTGTTGTTTCGTGTCTATGGACCTCTGTTTCTAGTCCTGCCTCCTTATTCACTGCACTCACAGGAGCATTTTTAAGGTTTGCTGTGCGTGTCACTACTATATCCCATCTCCACAGAATGTTCCTTCACAACCTCACCACAACCTCTGGGAGCTCAGCATGAACAGAATGGTTCCAAAATCTTTCTTTATAAAACAACAACAACAACACATTGAAAAGTATCTGGAACAGAAGGATATAGTGGCTAGCTCTGCTTCCCATTAGGTAGCCATTGTGTCACCATGATCCACGAAAAAAATGAATCTGTTCAAGGGTTATGATACTGCTTTCAGATGTAATCATACATACACTTGCACACACCTCATCCGACTGATCCTGTAGTCCTTTCCTTGGTGGTAGAAAAGCTCACCTAGATCATCTGACATCAGGAAGAGCCACTATCCAGAAAGCAGAGGACCAACCCCACATTACCTAATATGATGTTTTGCCCTAAGGGTCCAAGGAGGCTGAAGGACAACAAAGAGGTGTGATTTTTCATTCAGCGTAAAAATAGGTAGAGATCACTTGATAATAACAGTCAGAATCAAGTAGGGAATCTGAAGTCCCTTCTCAGTGCAAGTAAGCCTGAAAATCTTTAAATCCACCGTTACAAATGCATACACAAGATTTCAAAAGCAAATGCAATTTTTCACTGGATTGCTCTACATACAATTGTAGGCAGACTACATCCCAAGAGAAGCAGCCACATATTCCTGACATCTATAAAGAATGCTAGCCCTCAACAAGACCTAAGACCATAACTGCATTGCAGGTTACAGCTTATCTGCATGTTTTTGTATTTCTGTGCATCTTCACTCCTCCCAATTTGCTAGTATTAGAAACACCTCCTGTATCTGTGTAACAAAGTTTTAAGCTTTTGGGGTGCAACCAATCTGCTCCCAGAAATATATAGCTATAGTTTTATTTCTATGATCTTGCAGGTAACCTTGTCTTTTAAAAATCTCCCTTATGAGAATTTCACAATTATGCTTATACACTATAATCACACTTACTGGTAAAGTATCTTTGTCTTATTATGGCCTGGATAGGGAAGATGCTGATTGTTCACCAAGAAACAAAAGAAATCTCAGTGATCAGCTTGAACTATCCTTGAAGAGTTACCAAACAAAGAAGTACAACAAGACAAAACATAGGAAGCTCCATTGACAGATAACGGGGGGGGGGGGGAATCAATGATGAAATGTCTGCCTACATTTCTTGTAGCAAGGAAACTGAAATATGGAGACTAGCAGCTCCTAAAAGTTTTTAGATGATGGTGAGCTGCTTCTACATGAAACCAATATTGACCAGGTTAACTCTTACGTATATTCATACTCAGTCCATCTTCCTTTGCAGGACAAATTACATGCTAAGGAATGAACGCAGGCAAGAGAAGATAGTTTAGTAGTAAAGAAGTCATGTTACACAGCCTAAACTTCACATTATTTATTGAGCTCTGTTTTGTACATTTGAAGATCATCTGCTAGGGATAAAGTGTCAGCATGCAGAGGGTTGAAAGGCCAGCTGCTAGCCCCAGCCGGGTCGTTTCCCTCCAGCCATCCCACTGCGAAGACCCATCAGCCTCTGCTCCGACGTAAATCAGCGACCCAGGCTTCAAAGCCAGGGCACACTATATCAGCAGAGCAAACTGCGCACACAGGATAGGCGTGAGGCTTGTGGAAGCATACTACAACTATGGATTTATTAATCATAAATCAGGACACAAAAAAATGCTGTCTCTTTGTCTTCTCGGCGAGAGAGGCAAAAGCAAAAGCAATAACACAGCGGAAGTTCCGCTAACGCCAGCAAAACAGTGCTGGAATGTAAACAGACATGAGACACAACAGTTCCATGTCTGCTCCTTAAGGTGGAATGGAAATTTCCCAACATAAAGAACCGCCCACCCCCCTATAGAACGCCATTGACACATCGCGAAAGTCAACCGGGGGCTCAACCAATGGTGGGAGAATTAAGATCCAAAAGCTGGCAGAGATTGCAGCATTATCTAGCTATTCCTCTGTGCCACCGTCTCTTTTCTCTACCTCACATATACACATGGGGCATAAGAGGAATCAATTGCAATCTAGTAAGCAAGAACAGGCCTGCAGCACCCGCAGAGTTGGGTGGTGGTTCAAGCTGTGTGTTATCAGGCCAATAGCCACAAGTTTTCCAGTCCAGCGCTAGAACATCAAAGATTCAAGAATACCTTGGATATTAGGTCTCCTTGTGATCAATGCTTGTAATTGTCCGTAAGAAGGGACTGTCTTTCTCAATGCCTTCCAGTGTCTGTGCCACAGCTGCTGAATCCATTAAAAACTAACTGCAACATCTGAAGCATGGCACAAGGTATTATTTTGTACCATTGCTCAATTGGTGTGCTCATAGCAAAAAGAAAAGTTGCTTATCTAAAATCTATATTTGTTTTGTATCTTTGTGCAAGAACACAGTGACATATAGAGTGACCTTTAAATGGGTCACCATTCCCCTAATTAATTTCATTAGTGTCTACAGCTTTCTTTTGTTGGTTCCCGCTTCTGGGAGAAACTCTGGCTTTTTGTAGGCCTTTGACTTCATTACATCCCTCTTCTAGGGACATTTAAACATATTTTTGGTCCATTTGGCCTCATTCTTTCCTTCCCTTTTGTTGTGATTTGCTTATCTCCAAGCTAAGGGATCCACTTGTAATTTTAATTTAGGCTAGCTTGAACAGCATTTGACTTCAGAGGTCATCTATGCCTATTATCAAGATCCTACATACATCCAACATAGTCAAGGAGTCAAAATCATTTAGATTCGCCGCCACCCCCTCCCAATCCTGCAGAGCTCTCTAAATCATCTAATCTGTTCTTCCCACTTTTGTTTTCTTAAGTGGCTTTAAGGACATTTATAACTTTTCCCTCTGGCAACAATTTTAAGTTACTTAAGTATTAGAAGAATGGCAACATATATGCTTTTCTGCTAAAAGAAAAACAGAAAAATACTATTTCCCCTTGTTTTTAGAAGTATTCGCACATTTATTTTGTCCAAATTTGTTTCTGTGTAGTAGAATGCAATATAGATTGGATAAATATTATATCTCCTTAAATCAGTCCCAACTGAATTTCACATACAGTGTGATAGCATCTTAAATTCATTTAACTTGTGTGATTTCAAACTTACATGGTTGAAGACTGACTGGTTGAAAACACACAAATTAAATGCATGGAAGGTGGAGAGCTTCAAAGCGCTTTGCCTTGCTTGGGGGACAAGGCCTGCTCAGTGAACCATCCAGAAAAGTAAGAATGTGTGCACAGGAGCTGTTCCAAGCAGGTGGTTCAAGTATACACATTTTTGTGTATATGTGCCATCCCCATGCATGATGTGATCATACTGCATATTGTTCAGTGGAAACTGGTTTATAGTTGAGGTTTTGTTGAAGCAGACATCCTCAGCTTTAAACAAAAGAAATCTTCTTTTGAAAGGAATTATAAAAGATTCATCTTAAATCAGCAGAAAGTAACTTCCTTGAAGAGAGATCTTACTAGAAGACAACAAACACTTTCTTGCAAGCTCTCTTAAATACGGTATGTAACACTTTAATGAAAAGATTTTTGACATGATGTGAAACCAATGATACTGGGAACTGCAAACAAACAGAAAAAAGGAGAAACACGACCAATGAGTGACATGAGAAGGAAGCATAGTCTGAGGGAAGTCCAAAGGGGCAGGTAGAGAGATCTAGAGGGCCACATTCAGCCCCTAGAACTGAGGTTCTCCACTTTCATATTAAACCAATTTGTATTTTTGAAAGAGAATAAAAGTGCTTGAGGAGAACAGGATTTTTTATTTTATTTTTTGCACTGGGCTAAACAGAAAAAGGCTATTCTCAAGGAAACATGAAACCAACTTATTTACTAGTGCAAATAGCTTTAATCATCTCAGAGATATAGTGATCCATATAAGCAGCCAGGGAGGAGATCGCAACTGCAGCAACATGCTGAGCTAGGAAGCCATAGCTTGGTGTGGTGTCTGAACCTGGGTCTATGGTTTAGCTCTGTCCAGCCTAACCATGAGTTGTAGACCAATAACAAACCTTAGTAACAGCTTGTGGTGAGACTCTGGAGAGTTTACGAGTCTTGTGTTTGGATGACACACTAAGCCAAGGACAGGGAACACGTGGTATCCAGATGGTAACTCTGTAACTCCCATCATCTCTGACCTTGGCTATGCTGGCTGAAGCTGATGGGATTGTAGTCCAACACATCTGGAGGATTACAGGTTCCCCATCCCTGCACTAAGCCAAGCCAGGCTTCGCTGAGCATAGCAAAGATGCAAAACAACTAGAGAGATGCAAATCAGCTGCTATCTGCTCTCCAGGATATCACACCCCCATGTTAGCATGGTGTGTGAAAGGGCCAAAGAGAATAGAAAGTATAAAACAGGTTAAACCACAGACCTTTTGAAAAGGTTGTTAGAAATTTCTTCCTGCCTCTCATTTGTATGAGTTTCAAGTGGATTGAACTGGGCTTTCATTCTCGCCCACAAGTAAACCTACTGATGCAGTGAGCAAGATACTGGTGTGTTGAAACAGCTAGGTGATGCTGCTAGTGTGGATCCCTGTGTGGCAGTGAAAGCTTCTCTCTCTTTTCAAGAATCATGGGGCAGGGAAAGAGATCAGCAAGTCCTGGAAATAGCTGCTGCTGGAGACACCCTATTGCTTTCTTCTAGATTCCAAGGCAGGCAGAGGGATACCATAATAAACATATTTCTTTTAAGAGGCTAATTTGTAAATCAACTACAATGGATGCCATTCTCAAAGTTGCAGCCAGATATGTGGAGGCAGGAAAAACTTTCTTATTTCCATTTCAGAATTTACAAAAGATCACAGTAGAAGTGATATGCTTACTTGTAGATCAGATACTTTCCACCTTCATTTGGGTTGCGTTTTCCCCTCCCCCATGTAACTTTTGCAGAGAAAACTGCTTCTGTTTGGATGGAGCTGTCTACTGCCATGGAAACAGAACAATCTTCTGCAACGGACCAATGCTGAGATTGCTCTGCCTATTTTCCGGCAGCATTTCCCACTAAAGTCTCTAGGAAGAGCTTCAGTGGCTTCCTGTTATAGCTTGTAAATTGAATGTGTTGCTTCCCTACATAGAAAGGGGTAATGGTCAAGTACTATTATTAATTGTTTCTATCTATATAGTAAAAAAATGGGAATGTCACTGTGCAGCCTCCATTCAGGAGTCATAGTGCCACATCATATTCCTGGATTTGTACATGAAACCAGTCCCTCAAATCAATATTTGCTTCCTGGATCAAACTGTATGATGGATAGTAAGACTACTCCAAGTCAAGTATGCTTTAAATCAGGCATAGGCAAACTCGGCCCTCCGGATGTTTTGGGACTACAACTCCCATCATCCCTAGCTAAGAGGACCAGTGGTCAGGGATGATGGGAGTTGTAGTCCCAAAACATCTGGAGGGCTGAGTTTGTCTATGCCTGCTTTAAATGCTTCTGGTCTTCTTCCTCGTTGCCTTGTAGCTTTGAAGCACAGAAGCTCAATAGTTCGGGCTCTCACTTCTGCTGTCTGTTGTTTCTTTTTTCAATCTACAAAGATAAATGACACTCTAAAATAACTAACACAGGGTGACATTGAGCCATAATAAATATAGGGACCAGCCATTCTAGCAGAGTAGACCCAAAGGCTGTAGTAGATTACAAAACTGTTCTTAGGTTATAGAATAATTTGCATATTTCTGACTTAGTGTGCTAATTAAAAAGAAGCCAGTAGTTTGTCCCTGTAGCAATTCTAAACCCTTTAACTCCAAGATTCATTTGTAAACCTTGATTAACCAGCCAAATAGCTTTAGTGCAGAAGACATCTGGCTTGGTAGCCCTTTAATGCTTTCCTTTAATCCTATTTAGAGTACCTTTAATTTATACCATGAAAAATAAGTATTATATTTTGTCTCCATTGTAAGGTTATGCTACAACTGTCCATATCCTTGTTTCTTTGCGACTGAATGTCATCCTAAGAGACTGAAAAGTCTATAGCTTATGCAGAATGCCATGCTTTGCAGATTAATTAGAGCACCAGTTCAGGAGCATGTTGCAGGATCTGAATTAGTTTCTGATAAGTTTCCAGCTGGAATTCAAAGTGGTGGTTTTATAGCTTTCTCAGTTGTAAATGACATGGGATTAGTCAGATGGAAAGCCACCTCAATCTTATTTTCCTATTTGGGTGCAGCTGCAGTAGGGGATGGATTTGCAGTTGATACAAACTGAAGGGGGCTGTTTTGTGTCACAAGGCTTTTTCCTCCTGAAAGAAGAGTCATTAGTTTCCTTTTAAGACAACTGCAAATATATGTTAAGACAGGCTTTACAACACAATCACATGTCCCTCCCCCCCTCCCCCATCTCTAGAGTTGTATAGGTTGAAAGCTTTCAGGCCATTCCAAAATGTTATTTTTAAAAGAGTGAAATTGGAGCACTGGCTTGACATTCAAGCACCTTAAATCCTCTTATCCTTAGAACACTACGTGAAGTCAGCCATTTAAGCTTCAAGTTTCCAAATCACAGGTACTTTTTTCTGGTTTCTGAAACACTGTGGGAAGGGGTAGGGATTAATTGAACCCCAGTGCGGGCATGTTTACTGGATTCACATATACCACATGCAGTTGTCTCTAGTGCTCCTATGTAAACATGGTCACAAAACAAAAATAATTCAGTAGCAAAAACCTTTGTATCAGCTTGATTACAGGATTTAATTTGTGTCGAGGAAAATAGCAGGATCTCGGAATTAGATTGAGCTCTAAAGAGTATTAAGGATTCACTTAATAAAGTTTGAAACAGAATAAAATACCGCTGCCTCAGCCAATTAAGTACAGCTATTTAACTCACACTTTACTACAATGGAATCTTTTCCTCACATCACAATGGATATTTGTTGAAAAGTGACCAAGCTGTGCCATGTGATGGGGTCCTTCAGATAGTCCTTATCCCTCTCTGTACCATTCCACACCCTATGGGTCACAAGGTAAGAAAACTAGCACATGTCTTCACCATTTTCACTGGAATTAAACCAAACATGGATTGGCAGCTGTCATCACCCACTGATTTCTGAGTAGCAGGACCGTCCAATATTGCTGGGAGGAAAGAAAACATCTGAATAGAAAACAGAGTCACAGAGTCATAGAATCTTAGGAGTTGGAAGGGACCATGAAAGTCATCTAGTCCAACCCCCTGCAATGCAGGAATCTCAACGAAAGCATCCATGACAGATGGCCATTCAACCTCTGCTTAAGAATCTCCAAGGAAGAACAGTCCACAACCTCGGTTCCATGGTCAAACAGCACTGTCAGAAAGTTCTTCCTGATGTTTAGTCGTGATCTCATTTCTTGCAACTCGAATCCATTGCTTTGAGCCATACTCCCCAGAGCAGGAGAAAACAGGCTTGCTCCATCTTCTATGTGCCAGCCCTTTAGATATTTGAAAGTGGCTATCATAGCTCCTCTCATCAGTCTCCTCTTTTCCAGCTAAACTTACCCAGCTCTCTCAACTGTTCCTTATAAGGCTTGGTTTCCAGACCCTTTATCATCTTGGTTGCTCTCCTCTGCAAAATGCTGGAGGAACTGCACTTCAATCGGAACATATTTCCACATGTGGCGGGACTGTAAGGAACCAGAGGATTTCTGAAACATAACTTTCTTGGAAATTGGAAAAAACTAAATTTGTTTATGGACCAAAATGTGGATTTAATGAATGAGGACCTAATAAGATATTTTATCACTGCAGTTGGGGTAATCATAGCCAGGACCTGGAAAGAGCTATCAGGAGGCACATTAGAGGCATGGTACCACCAAGTGTGGCATATAGTGTTTAGGAAAATATTTCCCAGATCTCCTGAATTGAAGACCCTGCTTTCATTTTAGTTTTAATGGTTTTTAACTGTTTTAACTATTATGCTGTTTTAATGAGCTTCCGTATTTTATATCTTAATTATGGATATTTTAATGTAGTTGTATTTTGATTACAGGTAACTGTATTCTTGGTTTTATTCTTGTTATTTTGTTCTTGGATTTTATTTGTTTGTGAAGCGCCTTGATATTTGTTCTTGAAATGAAAGGTGGGATTACATAATAAAACAGGCCAACACTTGCATGCATAGTAAACATCCATAGTTTAATGCTATAGTTTAATATATAATACTTTAATGATACATAATTAAAAATGAAATTTGGTTATGAAAAGTCTCTAACATTAAATTGCATATTTCACATAACAAGCTTACCAAGGTTTTTTACTGCATAAAAATAATAAATCTCTTCAGCATCAATATAATCTGTATTTCAAAGGCACAATTTAAAGACATAATATTAGTGGGATGATTAAAAAAATATGTGCGCATTAAGATCAAATAAGCTGTTCTCTACCTTTTTAGTAAAAGCAAACCAACACCCAACCAAAATAATGGCAGATCATAACAATGGAATATATGAAAACCATATACCCATCAACCAAGGCATTTATATATATATATCTCAAAGTGGTATACAACTCAGTTAAAACATAACAGATGAGATCATATAAAATTACAACCATTTCCAGTAATCACAATAAAACAAATCTTCAGTAGGTGTTGTCATGTGCTGTCAATGTAACAACCACTACCACAATCAGGAAAGCACATGGGTGAAGAAGTAAAATATACAATGAGTTCTAGAAATAGCTAAGAAATCAATGTGTTTTCAAAACATCATTTTATAAAAGTACAATGCTTCAATTAGAAGTCACTTTTCAGATAAAATTTGCAGTTAACAAGAAATGTAGCTGCTGCTGCTATAAGATGCATATCAGTCTTACCATGGGCAACTTCTAAAATGTTGTAAGAGCACATCTGCATATAACTTTCCATGCTATTGGGTTTGTACTTAAAGAAAAACATAGGAAACATCTGGGAAAACCACTGAAAGAGTTGTTGATACATTTTGTAGTGTGATCTGTCAGAAACTGGTAGGGAATTGCAATAGTATCAGCCTTTCTGGTAATAAGCCTTTTAAAAGCACTTCTAAATCTATAGAGACTTACTAGAAGCAGTCATTGTATAGTGGTTGCATACAATCACTTAAAAAAATTAACTATATTGATCAAACCTGTAACTTCCTCTCTCATATCTCCTTTTACTCAGTTCCGATTTAACAAAACACACAGTTTCCTTATCTAGGATGTAGTCTTAATAAGAGTTTTCAGAGGCAGGAAAATATTCTGAATTTGTACCAAAACACAGCTTTCATATTAAGAATATTCAGAGTGTAAAAGTGTAAAGTTCAAAGGAGATGAACAAACAACATTCCAAAAAATTACTGAAATATCTTCAGACTATTCAGGCTAATTTGAGACACTTTCATGCAAGACGTTAACATGTTTCAAATTCTGGTACTGCTCCTCACCTAGATGTTTACACTAAATACCCCAGGGGTTCCTTAATGTGTTAACAAAATCTTCATCATCCAAAATTCCAATACTTAATCCTTCATAATAGTCCTCAAACTCACAGAATGACACTTCATTAGCATTGCTGCAGGCATCCTCCAGAGTTTCTAGAAATGAAGATCTAATTTCTTCTTCTGTTGCATCACCTGTTAAAATATTGCTTATTATTAAAGACGTTAGCAGGGATGCCAAGAGAGCAGAAAAATAGACAAAATCAAAATCCATGTGTCATTGTTATTAAAAGTACAATATGAATTTAACATAAAGAGATTTCTTAAGTGAAAATTGCAGGAGGCAAACCAAGGCAGGAGAAGGTCAAAGGGAATTTTATCTCAGATTTTTTAGTCTTTCATTATCCCAATCTATAGATATGAATGAGGAAATTAAACAAAGCAATCTTGTTCTACAGTATGGATTTGAAGAATTCTTGATAAATATACACAGAATAGTGGCTTGGAAATTACCAGCCATCATTGCTATGTCCATGATATAACCATTTTTCAAACACATTTTACACCATATTTTTTCTAAATTAAATAAACCAAGAAAGTAAGAAAGAATCACTACCCTGTTTTCAATATCACAATGATTATAATCAATACTCGTATTCATATTTCAGACAATATTTTCAAGTTCAATTAACACAAATTAAACCTTAGTTGCTGTTTAAAGCACTGGAGCAGGATAGTCCATTTTTTGAGTCAGTTGGTAACTTTATTATCAAAATGTAAGGCAAGCCATTCAAATAAGATGTGAATTGTTGACAAGAAGATGCTAGCTCTCCCCTCTTTCCCACATTCCCAAAGTGTGACTAAAATGGGTCAGAAACCAATGTGCAAGGCATCTACTCCTTTCAATCACTATCAACCCAAAGCAAAAAGCTTTGAGCCCTTCTCCCTGAGTTGTTACATCAGTATCAAGGGGGCTGGGAATTTGATCACAGAGTTTCTATATACTTTGTGAGCCTTCTTCATACCTTTTCAGACTATACGATGGACACAGCATTGACCACTCACATTGGGATGAATGAGCACATGTTAATTGTTTGTCACGTGTTCAGCAGAGTTCATTACAGATTATTGTGGTACCAAAAGGTTGTAATGGTATCTGTTCAAAGATATGTACGTTGAAATCTGGTACTTAATCAAAACATTTCCCCCCCCCCTAATGGACAGACTTAGGCATCCACAAATAGCCTTTGTGACCAGTCATTAATTGTGTAACCTCAGTCCCTCCCATCCTGTGGCACATCTTAGAAGTCCTAAGGGAGCACCAGCCTCTTATTCCAGTTAGGCCAAGAGAATGCAGTTGTGGCAAAAAAACAACAACAACCTTTTGCCATTTACACCAAAACATGGCACACAATATGAGTGGCTCGCCCTGCCTTCCCCACAAGTTCAGATAAGTCAGAATAGACATCGTCCTTTCACTTTGTGTTGTTGGGCTAGTCAGAAGAAGTGGGATAGATAATACGATGTTGATAACAAGACAAATCAACAATTACTTTCTTGTACATTAATTACCTGCTATGACTTGAGGATGTTTTATAGCACAATAACATTTCTTGATATCTGTCATAGGAACACTGCCAGTTTTGTTATAATCCAGCTTCATATAAGCCTGAAATGAAGACAACGGTCAGAAAAGAGCAAGGAAGAGAAACACAAATTATGCTCACATACACCTGGCATCTTGAATGATAAGAATTAATTGGTTGGTCTGACCTTAAAAAGACAGAATGTACATTTTTTTAAAAAAAAAACACAACCCGTAGTTGTGAACCTACACCCCCATGTTGGGTTTGGAGAAAGATAAAAAATGGAATAGTAAAGTAAATAGCTGGGTGTGCTTAACTACACACACTTCACTGGAAGCAAGCACTTTATTTTATTTATTTATTAAAATATTATATACCACTTTTTAAAAAAATGTATTGAAGTGGCATACAGTTTAAAACTTTTGTAACTGGTATCAGGAAAGCAGGCTGTTTAATGACTTTTACGTCAAAATATAAATTATTGTCTCCAATGTTATTCCTACTCAAAGACTAAGCCCATTGAAATTAATAGACCTGACTAACTTAAGTACATCAGTTTCATACTGTGAGTGTAACTTACTTGGATCCAAGTCAGGTATTTCATGCCCACAAGTCTGTTTAGGGTGAAGGGTTTTGTTTTGTTTTTTAGATTTTTTTTGGTCAACACCGGCAATTCATTAACACTTTTTTCTGCCTGGTGCATAAAGCATTTTCTCACTGACTCACTCATTTTCTCACCAACTGACAAATTTTATTCAAATGACCTAGAAAGAAAATTCCTCTCTCTTTCTGCACATCCGTTGCCAAAGGGGAAAAAAAAAAAAGATTGGTACTGTTCAAAACAGGAGTTGTGGTTCGAGGACCCGACCCCCGCGAAGTAAAATGAAGACACAGGGACACGTGATATAAGGTTAATGGGCTAGAAAAGGCCACAACTTTATTGATTACAGCAATGAAAAGGTATTGGCTTAGGCATTGGATCGCGAAACAAGTGGGTTTATTCACCAGGGGTTCATCACCTGTTGATGCTAATCCAACTATAGGCTCACCCCAGATGTCACCGAGGGTCGTGCCATGGCCTCCCGCCAAGCAGGCTTCGGACGGAATACACGACCGCCAGATTCCATTAACGGAATACCCCTAGAAATTGAAGGCATAGGCGATGGCCACACCTAGCACTTCGACACACCACAACACATTATTCCAATGCCTAACCTACCCACCAATACCACCAAAAAGTTGTGACGATTGCTACGAGGTAGGCGAAAAAACCAAAAAGCCTAATGCCAAATGGAAAAACTCCTACCAGGCCCCCCGGGCAACCGGGGCGACCAACCTAAGGTCCATAGCAAGGCCAATGACCTAAGCCTAACTCAAAGGGAGTGGAGGGTGGGTGACTCGCACAGGACGACGAAGAGAAATGAGGCCGGGGAGAGGCTGGCACTGCAGCATAAAGGCTGCTGGACACGCCCCCCCATGGCACCTGGTTGGACGGCCACCGGGGGGGGGGCGTGAGTGCCAGCCAGGTGAGCTGGAGGCAGGGGGCAACGCCCCCTGCTAGGAGCGGTGTTCGGGCTCCCGTCCACAACCACTCCCCTCTCTTTCAGGGAGGAGAGTCTTTATATTTTCACAAAGTGAAATGCCTAACGGGTTCAGGGACCATAGGATTAAATACCAGGAATGATACCTTTATTGTAGCATGCAAAACAGACCTGCAGGTGAAAGACTATTTTGCAGTGCATGCCTTTAATCTGTTTTGATATTTGCAGTGCATTATTGTGGCACGCATATCGTGGCCTTAAGGAGTCACATTTTGTGGGGTTATGCATGCAAAAAGTGCAAAAGAGAGGAAGAGGGACTGAAAGGGAGCGAAGACAGAGAAACAAATTACAAACTGAAACGCTTATAATAAATATTAAGAAGGGTGGTATAGAAATGCTTTAAGTAAATGAAATCATGATTAGTTTTTTAATAATGACACAATCTGGAAATATTTATCAGAAAACTTATACAGTATTCCTCTTTTACAGATGGTAAGAAACAAATTTTAGTAACTTGTCCAGGCTCAATCCCCCATCCCTGCCCCCAAAAGGAGTACAGAATAAAATCATGAGAGTAAAATTTGTATCAACACTTGCAGAATTCTGGCCGCAGTTTCAAAGGTACAGTGGTACCTCAGGTTAAGTACTTAATTCGTTCCAGAGGTCTGTACTTAACCTGAAACTGTTCTTAACCTGAAGCACCACTTTAGCTAATGGGGCCTCCTGCTGCTGCCGCACCGCTGGAGCATGATTTCTGTTCTCATCCTGAAGCAAAGTTCTTAACCTGAAGCACTATTTCTGGGTTAGCGGAGTCTGTAACCTGAAGCGTATGTAACCCGAGGTACCACTGTATTGATTTGTTGTTCCAGAAAAGTCAACGGGGCAAGTCAATTATTATATAGGCAACAAGAACTGTTAAATGACAAACCAGAGGAAGCAAACTTTTCTTCAAAACATATAGTGATTAATGATCTTAAAGTATAAATATTGGATACTAGATAGCATTTAACAATAAAGCATTAAGCAGATCAGTACTTCTTAGTTATTGGTAGATAAACTTGTTGTTGTTTAGTTGTGTCCAACTCTTCGTGACCCCATGGACCAGAGCACGCCAGGCACTCCTGTCTTCCACTGCCTCCTGCAGTTTGGTCAAACTCATGCTGGTAGCTTCGAGAACATTGTCCAACCATCTCGTCCTCTGTCGTCCCGTTCTCCTTGTGCCCTCAATCTTTCCCAACATCCGGGTCTTTTCCAGGGAGTCCTCTCTTTTCATGAGGTGGCCAAAGTACTGGAGCCTCAGCTTCAGGATCTGTCCTTCCAGTGAGCACTCAGGGCTGATTTCCTTCAGGATGGATAGGTTTGATCTTCTTGCAGTCCATGGGACTCTCAAGAGTCTCCTCCAGCACCGCAATTCAAAAGCATCAATTCTTCGGCAATCAGCCTTTTTTATGGTCCAGCTCTCACTTCCATACATAACTGCTAGGAAAACCATAGCTTTAACTATACAGACCTTTGTCACAAGGTGATGTCTCTCCTTTTTAGCTGTCTAGGCCTGTCATTGCCCTTTTCCCAAGCAGCAGGCGTCTTTTAATTTCGTGGCTGCTGTCACCAACTGCAATGATCATGGAACCCAAGAAGGTAAAATCTCTCACTACTTCCATTTCTTCCCCTTCTATTTGCCAGGAGGTGGTGGGACCAGTGGCCATGAGCTTCGGTTTTTTTATGTTGAGCTTCAGACCATATTTTGCACTCTCCTCTTTCACTCTCATTAAGAGGTTCTTTAATTCCTCCTCACTTTCTGCTATCAAAGTTGTGTCATCTGCATATCTGAGGTTGTTGATATTTCTTCCAGCAATCTTAATTCCGGCTTGGGATTCATCCAGTCCAGCCTTTCGCATGATGTATTCTGCATATAAGTTAAATTAGCAGGGAGACAATATACAGCCTTGTCGTACCCCATTCCCAATTTTGAACCAAACAGTTGTTCCATATCCAGTTCTAACTGTAGCTTCTTGTCCCACATAGAGATTTCTCAGTAGACAGATAAGGTGGTCAGGCATTCCCATTTCTTTAAGAACCCCCCATAGTCTGCTGTGATCCACACAGATATGTAGATAAACTACATATATGTATATATTTAAAACCCACTTACTTTTCTCACAAATGCTTTCCTATATTCATTCATTTCACCAAGGATGGCACGAGTAAACTCAGCATAATCAACTTCCTCATTTCTGTTGTCATTAAGCATTAACCACAAAGATTCAAACTCCTAAAATTAAAGAATTTTGTGTCAAATAATTTGCAATTCAGCACATAGCCTAACACTACCACATAACGCAACAATGGCAGAGGCCAAGTTTTTATTTATTAAACTTCTATCCTACTCCTCATCCCAAAGAAGTACAGGGCAGCAAACAGGTGACAAAACAATAAAAAACATATTTAAAACAATTTCAATATAGATGCAGACTTCAAGATTAAGTGTTTTAATTTTAACATGGCACAGTAGAAGCAAATTGTATTTTCCAAGTAAACCAGATGTAAGGTGCAGACTATTTGTCCTAGGTTATAATGGAAGATATATTTTCACCTTAACATGCATGATGAAAAAGCCCTTTTGGCTACAGTTTTGTTAACCTAATGGTATTTAAATTAAAATCTGACCCCAAGTTTGCCATGAGAGCAAGCTAACATAATCTCGTGTCAGGAAATAGTAAATGGTATTTTAGGAAGAGGTCTCACAACTATTGCCTCTGACATCCCTTGGGAATGTCCTTCTCAAGTGACAGCCACTTTCCTAAAAAAAAAATAGGTCTTTCATTAAGTACCACAACCTCTAGATAATGATAATATTCATTTCTAAATCGCATCTGCTTTCAGCCAGTATCTCCACCATGGAAGGTACACATCAGAATACTATTTTCCCATTGTCTGGTCTAGTCCAAATTTACAAGTGGCAACTAATGACCTACAGCAATGTTCCAGGTATCAGGGACCTGGAGAAATGTAGTTTCCCCACTGTGCTTATATCTTTCTTAGTATGGCTATCAGGCCCTTGGAAACTAAAATGTTCAAAGTTCCTGGCACCAGAAGCTCTGAAACATGGGTTTTCCTTGGAATCTGGCATCCACATTAATGATGTCAAGCATATTAGTGATGTCCAGGCAACAGTGCTGTTGGGGTGGGAGAGAGAAGAGACCAACCAGTCTCTCTGTCACCTTAGAAGCCTCTACAGTAGCAATGAGGGAAGTGAGTGGGAGGGAGATTGTCTCTGACTTGTCTTGAGCTAGATAAACTATGAGGTTTGGAATAGATTACTACTGACAACCAGCCTGACCTCTCATACTTGCTTGAAACAAGAACTCTGCCTCCCAGAAGTAAAATTTTGAAAAGGAGGGTGTGTATGTCAGCATAAAAATCAAAGTCCATGCTCCATAAAAATATGTTAAATGTTGATTCCAAGCAACTTATTTTATACAGAGCTAGAGAAGGCAAGCTTTTATATTTTCCTTTTGCTTTCTAAGTTACCTGTTCTGCTGATGCCAACAGCATGTTCTCTAAATAAAAATACATTTAACTGTTCTAGACTGGTACAGGGAAGCTGCTTTCTACCCTGGGAAAGAAACAATCCATAGAGGGTTGGTGGCAGCAATTTACCTCTGAGATATACCCAGCGTAGTTTTTTAGATGGAACATACTAGGCTGTTTGCAGATGGGGATCAGTAGATTCCCTCAGAAGAGTGGGTTCATGACAGCATACCTTTTCAGAAATGTCTAAATGAAACACTTTCAGTGCTTGTTTGAAGTCTGCTTTTGTAAGAATTCCATGTTGTTTCTTTTCTAGCTCCCGGAAGTACTTTCCTAATCTTGTAATTGTACGAACTCCTCTTTTACTTAGCTTTTCTCTTAGCCTGTCTGGGGAAAAAAGGTAAAAGCAGGGAACATTTTAATATTGTCTATTCTGACTTATAATTATTTTCCAAGGTCTTAGGCAGAGGACTTTGAAAGTCCTGCTACATGAGATATTTTTCACTGAAGTTGCTGCGTATTTAACCCCAGACCTTGTGCATGCAAAAATATTTTCTTCCACTGTGCTAAGAGATAACCTTAAATAAAGTAAAGAAATAAATGGATACATAACGGTTTTGCTTTGCATCAGTAAATAACTATATTTCTTAGTAACAACCTAAAGTCCATTTCTTCTGGATTTGTAATAATGTTAATAAACTATTAACATTATTACATCTTGCAGAATAAAAGGACTTTAGGTTGTAACTAATAATTATAGTTATTCACTGACACAAATGGAATAAAATGAAATAAATATCACTAGAAACATTTTTTTTAAAATCCAAGAACATGGAGAACATTATGAAATGAAAGTTACATAAGTTAATGTCGTTACGTTATAAAAACTGTTTGAATTGTAAATAGTTTGCTGAATGTGGTCAATTTACTTCTAACAGAGGCCTGGCAGATATAATGTATACAAAACCAATAGACAGCTATGTTTGTATAGTTACTAAAGAGGTGATTGTGTCTTGTGAAATTTTCCATTATGTCTGCTAGCACCAGAGACTGTTACATTTACATGGGTCAACAGAATCAAAAAGGCCAAGCTGTAACAGACCATTTAATGGACGTTCCATTTGAACTCACTGGTCCTTAATTAAAGGCCAATGGCATGTCAGAGAGATCCTTTTGATTGGTTAAAGGAGTCTGACAGGAAAGGATAAAAGGGCAGACAAAGCACTACTGTGGGAGAGTCTGGAATCAAAGTCTGAGAGAAGACAAAAAAGAGAGTATGAAAAGAATGGGAGCTGAAGAAGCCCCTGCTGTCAAGAGGAAGCAGCTGGAGGCATGAGAGATCCTAGTGGCAGCATGTAGTTGTCCAGGGAGAAGCAGCCAGGACACCATGGCTGAAATTCTTAGAAAGTCTGCAGAGAAAGAAAGAGTAAACAGCAGCTCTAAAATAACAGAACCCAGATTTGTCAGCTGTGGACAATTGTCTGTGTTGGATACACTGGGTTTCCACAGCTTCACTTGTATATAAACACAGAGGTTTAGCTATCAATGCCTTTAAAAACTGAATGCCACCCATTCAGTCAGAATGCTTTCAAAATCTTCTAAGAGCATGTACTGTAGGCTTAGGCATGAGAAGGGACAGCACCACTAGATGAACTTTAAGCTAAGATTGTTGGTTTATTCAAGGGATGCTATTTACAGAAAGGGATACACTGGGGTCTTAAAGGCCTTTGTTAAGAGTTTCTGAAGACTCAAGAGACGCCGTTGTTGACAACAACCTCCAAGCGCCTTTCACTGGAGACAAAATTCCTTAAGATTCCACCCCAATCAAATACGCACACAACCCAGTCCAGGTGTTGGGAACAATCTACATCTACAACCAAAAGCTCCTCTGGTTGTACAATCAACTAGCAATTTACACACATTTAACTTGTGCAAATTCATCTTTATGTGCTTGGCTGAAAAAAAATTAAAGGGTATGGGCATCTGGGTGGAGAAAAACGTTGGCAAAGACTCTCCTCCCTGCAAGAGAGGGGAGTGGTTGTGGCCGGGAGCTGGACTCCGCCTCAAGCAGGGGGCGTTTGCCCCCTGTCTCCCACTCACCTGGCTGGCGCCCACGCCCTCGGCCAGGCACCCAACCAGGTGCCTTCAAGGGGCGTGTACAGCAGCCTAAATTGCTGCGGCACCAGCCTCCAGCCCTCACTTTTCGTTGTCCCGTCGCGAGTCACCCACCCTCCACTCCCTTAGAGCAGGGTTCCAGTTTTCTTTTGGCCTTGCTATGGACCTTAGGTTGGTCGCCCTGGTTGTTCGGGGGGCCTGGTAGGAATTTTTCCATTTGGCATTAGGCTTTTTGGTTTTTTCGCCTACCTCGTAGCAATCGTCACAACTTTCGTGATATTGGTGGGTAGGTTAGGCATTGGAATAATGTGTTGTGGTGTCAAAGGGCTAGGTGTGGCCATCGCCTATGCCTTCAATTTTTGGGTATTCCGTTAAAGGAATCTGGCGGTCGTGTATTCTGTCCGATGCCTGCTTGGCGGGAGGCCATGGCACGACCCTCGGTGACATCAGGGGAGAGCCTATAGTTGAATAAACCCACCTTGTTTCTGACTCACCCCTCTCTGAGGGGGTGGAGTCAGCTGACGTAATCCAATGCCTAAGCCAATACCTTTTCACTTGCTGTAATCAATAAAGTTGTGGCCTTTTCTTGCCCATTAACCTTATATCACGTGTCCTTGTGTTTCATTCCACTGCACGGGGTACGGGTCCTCGAACCACAATTGTACCTACCATTGCACTCACCTTGGGAGAGCATTTGGCGGTGTAGAGAGAGGGTGTTTTGACTAAACATGATTTTGGCTTTATGCACCAACCCCAGAATATAACCCCAGCACAAGTTGAGAGTCAGTTGTATTTCTAGCTGTTTGGACAGTTTGGCCAACTTTACAAATTCACCTGGTGCAACCTTCCTCTGGTAAAATCTATATACAGGACAGCGTCTTAGAACAACTCCACACCTGGCTTACTACTGCTGATCTTTATTGGATAAGCATAACAACACACTTGAGTATTACATTATGAGCTTCAGTTTCCTCTCTGTTATTTATTGTCTGGTCTTATACCTCACACTGCCCTCATCAAATCACTATCGCCCCACTCCTCAACTGTCAAAACCTAGTTAACACCCATATGAATGGAACCTCAATCATTCTGCTGTCACCTAGATCAATCAGACTGGATTTACCTGATCCTGGCCCCACTTAATAAAATCTTGGAAGCAATAGGTCTCTTATCTCCTCTGCCAGAATCTGTCACCAAGATCTACTGTTACACAGGCTTACAACATTGTAACAGTACAAGCCCTCAAATCAGTTACAAACTATTTTCATTTCAAAACATGAACATAAACAAACATATATACAGCTTTTCTCCACAGTGCTCAAGACACAGTGATTCCTGACCAGGCTGAATCCTTTATAAAGCCCTTGAGTTAACTGAGGAAAAGAACCGTGACCAAAGAGAAGACTTCAGCCGAAGACCTCTGTAAAGCCTGAGTTAGCTAGAGAGAAAAAAAGATAAGGGTAATTGGCTACTGGCTTAGAATACAGAAGAGAACCAGGACAAGAAAAGAGATACCTCTTTAAAGCTAATATCTTTTAAATCTAGCATCTGGCCTACAAATAATCCGGTTATATAATACTATAAACAAGTTTTAATAAGTAATTGCTTGACTTTTAAAATTAAGTCTGCGGCCTTTTCATCCCATGACTAAATCCAGTATTGTGTGTTATATGAATAGGAACTTTTTAATAATTTAATGGTGGCAGCCAGTGTTTTTATTTTTTTCAGGGGGTACTCGAGGGTATGTAGTACTGGCACCTCTTTTGTTGTTGTTGTTAAAAAGTGTGGCACTTAGTATAACAACTTCATGGTGAGTACCGGCACGTTTTCCTAGAAAAAAATCAGTGGTGGCAGCATAAAGAAAAGGAATAAGATAAGCAGGTACATTCCGTCTATATGTAAAAGCAGTAGCGATTCTAGCTGGCATTCTGCTCTTAATTGCTGTTTCCACTTTAGCTGGGTGGGGTAGTATGTATCCTTTTTATGTTATTGCAGGATGAGCACTTTAAGTCAATAACATTTTGATTTATTTTAATTTGGAATTATATGCTTTTTGAAAGAAATTGTAAGTTGCTATGAGACAAGTTTTTTGTAGCAAGCAGCAAATAAATATTAATAATCGGGGCTTTTTCTGTGAAAGCACTCACTGGTACAAAGTACCAGCTCCTCCTTTTTTAATGGAAAACATAATAATAGTAATAGTAATAATAGTAAAAAGGTGGGATTTTACGCCTAGATGTTTTGATATAGTTAAAAAACAAAAGCCATCCTTCCATGAAGGCACATGGTATGGGATATACAAACCTTGAACATTCCGTATAATAATATTGTCTTCACCTTCTTGTTTGATAGCATGTTCCTCATTTTCCACATCAAACTTCCTATAATATATTAATTCATTAGAACCACGCTACACATAACAGAAGTTAACTTTCATAGATCTATTCAAATTATCACCTACAAGTATGCTAGGAAAAGGCAGTTATTTGTAATTTATAAAATGCTTTATAGTAACTGATCAAAATTCAGTATTTCTTGAAACCAATTTATTCAAGTGCCATGAAGCACCCTTTCTTAGGTTGGCAAACCAGCCAAAGCTAGTATAAGTGCTCTTAGTTACCTACACAACCTGGTCAACCAGAGCTTGATTCTTCAGAGGGAGTTCAACCCAATTCAAAATAAGTTGCATATTTCCACCCAGTTTAGAAGATTATCCAACCACCACCCATCTTGTCATTTTAGCATCTTTACAATCCTTGCTTCTAATTACTACCTCTCTTCTAATTTGTCTTGCAAAAGAGTTCTTTCCCTCACTCACCTCCAAAAAATGCCACTATTATTTTACTGATGATTTCTAAACCTTAGGCCTGCTATGCTATCAAGGAAGTCCTAGAAGTACAGATCAAGGATTAAAGGAATGCAAGTGGCATTTGTGGCAGCAGAAACCCTGGGTGGATCTACACTCGTGGTTTATAACATTAATAATGTGTTATTAAAATGTGACACCAGAGGGCACTGCAGAGCAACGAGCCACCAGCCATAGGGAAACAGTATGTTAAAGGTAAAGTGATGTTTTATAACAATGTATCTACTATTGTTACAGTAATGTTTAAAAGATCAATGTAGATCCAGCCCCTAATATTTTCTCCGTTTTTGTTCTGCTCCCTACTTCAGGGTTCCCTTTATCTTCAACAGAATAACTGATGATTAATTCCCACCTTTTGAGGATATAATGCATTGCTTTTTTTTTTACAGAAAGTGTTGTTTTTTTAAAAAAAATGGATATGCTACAGCTGCAGTTTGAAGAGAAATTTGTGCTGTTTCTTTTCTCTTGCAGGGTCCAAGCAGCTAAAGGAGGGGAATGGCCTGAGGAGAAAGTATTAAGGAGCCCCTCACCACCCACAACACTAGATTCCCCCTTCAGATAAAATTTCACAGTTGCAATTTCTGAAAGAAAACATAATAATGTATTAGTGTAACATAGTGCTGCCTGTATGTTTCCTCCATTTATCTGGAGCTTCATAAAGGGAAGGATTATGCCCCTCCCACTTCCCCATCTTAGTAATTTCAGCTTCACAGTATCTGTCTAATCAGATATAACACTCGTGCCCATTGAGATCCAGCAAAAACCCCAAATCTCCCAAGTCAACATAAACCTTTGTTTGTGAACATATTTTCAAAACAAGAAATAAAATCTGACCCCTGAGGCTAAATTCACTTACTTTAGAAAAGCTCTAGCAGTTTCGTCAATATTTGTGACACGGATTGTAAATACTGGTTTCTGTTTCATACTTTCTGGAAGGGCAGGGTGTTGCACACTCAAAAAAGTTAGGTCTGCTCCCTGTCGGCAATAAAAGTGATTTACAAGCATGCCCTATTATTTTTTCCTTACAATATTCCATAAAATATAACTCACTCATCACTACTATCTTCATAAAGATGAACAATTTCACATATGTTTGTCTTATGCAAGCACAGACACCATTTGGTTCCTATATTCAATCTTCTCCTTTCTTCTAAGCAGTTTATCTAATGTTCTCTAGCAATACTAGCAACAATAGCTACTATTCAGTTAGAACTCTCAATCTTCAGTTGTCCTTGCTCATTCTGCCAACCAGCCACCCACAAGCTCCATTCCACCCAAATACCTTGTCTATTCCCACAATGCCCCAAGTGCCTGCAGTAAGTTAGCTCTATTTCCTAACAATGCCCTCATTTAGTAACATGATTTTATCTGCTCCCTGCCTTTGTTGATTGCTCCCATTGTCATAGAACCTCTCTACTTGCATAGCCTGGAAAGGTTCTAGTCACTAGAACAATTACAAGTACAGTGACATGAACAAATGCATTCAAAGTGGTGCACTCAATTAAAGACATGTCTAGTTATGGGAATTGGATGAGGGAAGAGAAAAGCAGTATTTAGTGATTCATAGCAATATGAATTAAGAGTGTTCACCTGTTCAAGGTGATGTGCCCTCCGTGATGTGACATCTTTAACAATGATTAGTTATGAAGAATATATCTAAACTTAAGAGCTTCAATTGTTTATTTCCAAAATGTAATACTACAGAAGTCTCGTTCAATACATGTACTGAGGAACAGAGGAGCAGCTAACAAAACTATCCTGACTGCTGTGATAGCCCAATGACCACGGAGGAAATACAGAGGAGCTTGCAATACCCTTTTATCCAGCTAGAAACTTGTTACTAGAGACTCAATTGTGGCAGAATCAAAGACTGCTCCAAATAATATGGGTCACAGATTCTCAAAAGCCCAAGTTTGCTTTATCCCTCTGTTCATAGAATGATTGCAAAAACCTCACAATAGGAGTATTCTCTTTGTATTAACTGCCCGGTATAATTTGGCACCTCTTCAAATTAATTTACATATTTAGTTCACACCCAAGGTTCTGGACCATATAATAAAAAGTGAACACAATTCTTCTGTCACCTATTATTCAGCAATTAGTTGTTTTCCTTGAATGCTAAAAAGAATAGCAATATCTAAAACAATACACCTAAAAATGACAGATGTGGTGTCTTAAAATTTTGCAGTAAATCCTTTTAGATTCTAATAAATTATGATCAATTTGCAAAAAGTGTGCCATTGCATTTTGCAGTTAGTCAATAAAAGGAAATGCCCATTAAGAAACAAAGCTGTTGTAATTTGATTATAAAAGTTAGCAATTAATAACCCCTTCCTGACTGCTACTGATTGCCCTCTTGTGGGAAAAGTAAGACATGCAGTCTTATTCCACTAATACAGTACTATTGACAATTGATATACTGTATTCAACAGAACAATTCATAAAACCAAGATTTAGGCACAGAATGCAAATCCACTGACATGTGACAAGTGGAGGGTCACACTCCCAAGTCCATACTCTGGAAAGTGCCTACACAGATGCCTTTGTTAAAACTGTCTTTATTATTAATGAGGGAAGGAATAGCTTTACCTTTCTTGTATGATGAACAGACACTGCACCACTTTTCCCCAGTCGAGTCCCTTATGGTAGTGTGGTGTTCCTGAGAAGGGACACTCATACTTTGCTCCAGACTGCCGTGGATAACCAGTCCTGTTCCCCAACACTGCTTCGTTCTGTCTCAATCCCCACAGCTGCTTTCAGCACTTGATCATTCTCCCCCCACCAGATGCTCACAACACTTTTTCCTTCCTCACTAGCCCTCCATTCCTTCTCTTCCTCTCCCTGGTCTAACAGTTCAAACAGTTACTTTCCCAATATTCTGATTCCTTTAGCAGCAGCTGCGAAGCTGGCCCAGGCTGCCGCAGCATCCCCCATTTCTCACATTCATACTTATCCCTGTTTTTCCTAGGCAACTGGCCTTATGAAATATATTAAAACCAAAATAGGAACATTAAACTAACATCTCATCACAAAACTACACAAATATACATATATCATCTGCCACATTACATACCTTTAATCTCCTGATTAAGTAGATTTTTACTGTTTACTTACATTTTTGCACTGAGGTGTTATGGAAGCCCCCACCTCCACCCATGAATTCAACTACAGACTTCAGATTATTCAGTTTGCAAATGTATGTCTCCTTTCCATAATACTTCCAGATTAACATTCTTCAAACCACCTTTGTAGTGACACAGCTTTGTTCCAACTTAAGAGAAATTTACTGTGCTTGTGGAACCAATATTTCGTTCAACCAACTTTGGATAAAATTCAATTCAATTCATAGGGCTGCTGAGCAGTCTTCGTCCCTGCTTGCCAACTTGTGCCGCTATCTTCCAACCTCTGAGCCCAATCTTGCAAAACTTCCTGTGGTGCACATTCAGTCTTTCTCCAAAATGTCAAAACACCTCCCTGCAAATTTGGCAGATCCCATTGTGCCCACTAAATAACACACACACACCCGATGCCGCCCCAATTTTGAGATGTTGTTCCTGGCTCATTTTTCCTTGGCCACAGAAATCAAGATAACTTAATTTGTCTAGTTTAGTACTGAGGAACTAGAGTAAAATATTATAGAAAGATCAAATCACCAAGCCTAACAAATGCAGATCCACAAGCCCTTAGGTAAGCATTGTCAGAGGTTCACCATACTTACAACATAGACATCACTTAGACAGTATTGCTTTCCTTTTCTCTGTCCACACTGATGAGTATAAACTCCCTTCTGAATGAAAGGTAGAGCATTTGTTCTGTGCGAAATTAAAAAGCAAAACCAAACCTTTAAGTTCATTTCCTGAGCAGTAATGATTTGATAAAATTCTGAAGTTATTCCTTGTTCTACTTACCTATTTTTACCAAACTGCCGATATTCGTATACAGTTAGAGATTTGTCATATGCAAAGAAAAATCCAATCAGTTCTCGACAGGCATCGCGACCATTTCTATAATGGCAACAGAAGCTATCGTAAGTTTTTTAAAAAAATAGTGGAAACCCTATCAACCGAACAGACAAGAACTTGGCACCTTAGGTCCATCAACATCTACCATAAGAATAATTTTCTAGATACAAAGTAAATGAACAAATGAATTACTTCCTATGCTTGCAGGCATACCCCTACCTCTTACCTCCTCTAAGCAAATGAAAGAGTTTTGTCAACAATTTGGGGCTACATTCACAAAACTCTTATTTATGAATGGAGCTTTTCAGTCCATTAAAATGTGCATACAGCAGCCCACTGTTTTGTTCATGTAATGTTAGATTAAGGCCACAGTACACAGGTTGTGCAATATTTTACACGTAGCTTTTTAGTTTCTTATTATCCTGTTCTTCCTCCAAACTGCAGCTCAGTGTAGTTAACAACCAACAGATAAACAATCATGCAAAGTAACACATAAGTCATCATCAGCAATTCAACAGTGAATAACCTCAATAAAAAAGCGTCTAAAGATAATTACCCCATTATGCCAACACCAGGGCAGTGTGATAAATATATAGCCTCCTTGCAAAAAATAGTATTCAGTGCCTCCTCTCCTCTATCTACCACTGTCCAGATGCATATTGTCTCAAGTAAACAATTGAAACCTTACAAAGCACAATACTTAATATGTCAAACAATAATTTTTAACCAATCAGTAATGGTCTAGCTAGCTAGCTGGATCCTCAGACAATAACAAAGCAGTAAAATAAAAACTAATAAAAACCACAAGAGACAGTATCATACCTGACCCTCTTCTCTTTCCTTCATCAATAGCAGAAGCAGTTTGATTTTACGCAGAGAGAGCGCACAAAGGAGCTAAACTATCACCATTTCCACAGTGGCTTACGGTGACTCCAATCTTACCCACTGTATCTCAGTGATCAGATAATCTTCCAGTGACACCAAGGGCTGCCCTTCCTTCCAACCCTCCCAGCTCTTATACAGAAGGATTCCTCACCTAGTCTGCCACCCTGGGTTGCCTTTCTTCCAAGACTTCCTCAGGGAGAAACATGCAATATTCTTTCATTATCTTATTAGAAGCTACTGGAATAAGATATAGACATGAAAGGAGCATCCTCAGTTAAAACATGCTTGCGTTACAAAATACTTAAAAAGTTTTAGACATACCTTGATAGTATTCTACCATCAAAGCGTAATTTGTTGGAAAGCACATTTTCAGTTAATGCTGACCTAGTCCTTATTCTGTAAAAATAATTCACAGTATTAGTTAAGATCTACCCAAGCAAAATTGAACATTCTTCATGCAAGCTACTTTTGAACCTAAAAATGCTCATGAATTACGAGAAGAACAAATCATGAAAGCAGGGGGCAAAGTCAACATGTGAATTCCAATTGCTAATAAACCAACAACAAATACAACAGGAAATATGTTCTCACTATTTATGCTATCAGTTCTCTTTTCACAGCTCTCTAGTGGAGATCAACACTGTGAAGAAATTCCTTAATGATCTAAACTGCCCACTTCAGTTCAGCGTTACAATGATGTAGGTAACACTATTTATTTATCAAAATATTTATATCCCATTGTTCTGCAAAACACTTAAGGCAGCTTACAATTACGTAAATGGAAGCTATGTAATAAATAAAAAAACCAATTGTAACATTGATTGATGTTCAACCAAGTCATACACAGGGTAGGCCCAATGAGTAGAGAGTGGAGCTGCACTGCTGGCCCTGGCATCAGGCACACAGCTGGCTCACCCCAAATGTTCAAGAGTTGGCATGGATGCCTGCACTAAAAAAGCCTAGGGATGAATAGCTGCTGCTTGTGCACAGGCTTCCATGCATTAGGCTTCCACATGGTTAGTAATCCCTATGTGTGAGCACACATACAGACTTCTTAAGTGCAGATAGGGCCCACAGTCACTGGCGGAGGAAGGGGGTGCGGTGGGTGCAGTCTGTCCCAGGTGTCATCCCTGAGGGGGGGTGACATCGCTACGCCATCACCCCCGGGACACTCACCCCGCCCCCATGCAGCTAGCCTGACCCCCAGGTGCACAGCATGTACACCGCTCTAGGTATTGGAGCAGTTAGCTCCACCTCTGCCCACTGCATGTAAGACACTGGTATTTCCATGATGCCTCCATGAGATTTACACATGAAAGGGGCTACAATTTCCATTTTATCTCGATTATTGACATCTGGTAAGACACACTAAGCACTAGATAGGACAACTCTGGGGATGTTACCAAACTGGCTGCCGGCTATGAAACTGTAGTAAAATGTTATTATGCACCCTGCACTCTAAGGTCCCAGTATGGTTTTCATACTGAAACACAATTTAAAACAGTTTTTAAAAACTTAAAATAAAAAATACAATTAAAAATAAGGTGGGTCCTAAAAATATATATCTCATTTGCCAACGGGCAAGTCAAAGAGGCACATCTTCAGCATTCATCAAGGACCTCTGTGGAGCAGGAGTTCCACACAATTTAGGGACTGCCATAGAGCATGCCCTCTCCTGGGCTGCCACTCCTTAGCTTCTGAACAACCAAGAGGGCCCCCTCTGCTGATCTTAGCATCCTAGAGGGTCTATAGGGAAAGAGGTGGTCTTTCAGATATTTGGGGGCTAAGTGGTTTATGGCTTTAAACACTAAAGTGAACACCTTGAATTGGACCTGCAGGTAAACTGGCAACTAATGCAGATATTTTAAAACTGGAGTTATAGTGATCCAAAGGGAACCACAGTTAGTAATCTTACTACTGTATACTGGACCAATTGAAGCTTCCAAGTCATCTTCAAGGGCAACCTAACATTGCAATACAATAATCCCCAGGAAAAGACCCCAGGGAAGAACAGTTACCACATGAGGTCCAACTGGCTGTACTCCCAATTCAACAGCTTTGTTTACTAGAATGAAATCAACCAGAAATACCTGCTGTCTGGTTAGACACCTAATAATCGCGTGGATCACAGTGGCTAGGTCAGGGCGAGAGAGGTAAGGAGCCAACTGCTTAGCTTGGCGGAGATGAAAAAATGCCGCCTTTGTTATAGCTGCAATCTGCGCCTCCATGGAGAGGGAGGTATCGAAGATTACACCCAAACTCTTAACGGACGGTGCTGGCACTAATTGCACCCCCGCAAGAGATGGGAGTTGCCCCCTCAATCCCATATCGTCCCGTCCCAGCCAGAGGACCTCTGTCTTCGAAGGATTTAACTTCAACCGGCTCCCACGTAACCATCCAGCCACAGCTTCCAAGCATCTGATCAGTGTGTCTGGGGCCGAGTCAGGATGGCCATCCATCAACAGATAGAGTTGGGTGTCATCAGCATACTGATGGCAACCCAGCCCAAAACTCCGGACAAGCTGGGCGAGGGGGCGCATAAAGATGTTAAAAAGCATCGGGGAGAGAATCGCACCCTGAGGCACTCCACACACCAAGGAGTGGCGGGATGACAGTTTGAACAATATGTTTATGTTCATTAATTTCAATGGGTCTAGTCTTAGGAAAATTTAGTTTAATATCACCCTTAGTCTCAATCTGTAGTAAAGATTGTTGGATTGGTCCCATTAAAATATATGGGCATATAATATGTTCCTGTCAAAATATATTGATGAAATCTTTTAGGGTCCTGTCTCCAAAGCAGAGTTTTGTAAGGAGCATAGTACAACTGATCAGTGATCTGTTTTGAATAATCTTATTTAAAAGTGTAATTAGAAATGATCATCCAAGGGTGTATATTGCATTTGTTGATCTTTCATCTGCTTAATTCCATTTGTGGAAAAAAGCTAGTTGTTACTTTGTTACAAAAAATAACTCATGTTTCTTATACCTGGGCTCTTTCAGATTTAATGATCCAGTTAAAACATCACAATAAGCCACAGTTTGTCTTAAACCATAACTGAATTGTGAATATGAAGAAAAAACAAAACATTTATTTCAAAGACAAAACAGGTCTGAGTGATTGGCTCTGTTTTAGATGAAACAAAGAAACACAGATACACTATCTTAGATCAGTGTTTCCCAACCTTTTTTGGGCAAAGGCACACTTGTTTCATGAAAAAAATATCGAGGCACACCACCATTACAGCCCCGTGACTTCAGCGCGCAGCGTCACGCCGGGAGGGACGCACGAAAGTGTAATAGGAACAAATAAAGAGCCTATGATTTATTGGGGGGAAAGAATACGGGCATTCATTCCGGAGCTCTCTGCTGATCTCATCAAGCAGCTACACCTTGCCCTCAGGCTGCTGGCACTGAGGTCAGGACACGGCCTGCGCTGGGGCTCCCAACAGTGTGTAACAGCCAATGCCACCCCAAAACAGCCAATGCTATTTTATTTCATTTATATCAGGGGTAGGCAACCTAAGGCCCGTGGGCCGGATGCAGCCCAATTGCCTTCTAAATCTGGCCCGCGGATGGTCCAGGAATCAGTGTGTTTTTATTTATAATGCATTTCTGGGTTATTTGCGGGGCATAGGAATTTGTTCAAACCCCCCCCCAAAAAAAAATATATTCTGGCACACATCTTCTGAGGGATGGTGGCCAGGCCCATGGCTGAAAAAGGTTGATGACCCCCAATTTAAATCCTACCTTTACCCCAAGGAGCTAAATGAGACATGCATAGCTTTCACCCTCAACCCACTTCTAAAAACCCTGTGATGTAGGTTAGATGCCAAGCTCAAGGTCACTCAGAGAGCTGCCTGGCTGAGTAGGGATTTGAACCGTGGTCTCCTCAGCCCAAATCTCCACCCCACACTGGCTCTTTGCCCAGACCAACAGTATTGCCGGCTGGGGCTTCCTGGCAGAGGCCAAGGCCTCATTCAGCAGAATGGTCAGAAGGACACTCCACATCCGGTGGCATTTTTAAGTGTGTGTATTTATATGTATATGTATATGCACACACACACACACCATCTCAAGAGCAGCCTCGCCCCAATTAAGTCTCTGCAGCCCAAAAACTTAAGGCACCAAGTTCATAAAAGCTCTATTTTTATTTTTAAAGGTAGTTAGAAGGTACAGCGCCCACGTAGCAGCCCCTGTGTGGAGAGCCGGGTCCAGGCTGGCAAAATAAAGCCACAGCGGAAGCCCCGGGAGTGGAGGCACCCAGCGCTGCCATCCTGGGCGGAGGGGTGGGGGCTCCCGGATGTCGGTTGCGGGCGGCCGCCTTGTGCGACGGAACCTGGCTCGGGCTGAGGGTCGGTTGGGGAACGAGGCTCCTGGCGCGGGAGATTCTCCTCCCCCCCCCCGCGTACTCACCGTGAGGCAACGCCTCCCCGCACTCGAATTGGACCTGGAAGCGGAGCGGGTGGCCGAAGGGGCTCGGGTTCTCCAGCAACGAAACTCCCAGGACAGACACCCGCGCCATGACAGATCTCTTCTTTTCCCCCCGCCCGCCTTGCCTGCTTCCTTCTCCCTCTCAAGCCCAAACGCCGAAAGCCCACTCCCCACGCGCCGCCGGCTTAACGACGGAACGGCGGAGCCACCAATCCCCGCGCGGCGATCGGAGACGCCGCAGCCAACCCCCGAGCTTCGCGCCTCGGCTCCCCCGCCTACTCCTCGCGCGCGGCCACGCCCACCGCTCCCTCCGCCAATCCGCCTTCCCGACTCTGTCCCTGGCGGGAGCTAAATCTAAACAATAAGCTTCCCCCGCCCCAGCCCCACGCCTGGCGGTGGGGGAATAATTTTTTTCCCCTTTATTCCCCCCCCGCCAATTTTTCCCGCGGCACACCAGGCAACGTATCGCGGCACACTAGTGTGCCGCGGAACACCGGTTGGGAAACACTGTCTTAGATCAACCGAAGCTTCATCTTGAAATAATTTTAAGGCTATATTCAGTAAGACAAGCAAACACAACAGCATATACTTACCTTGTTTCATGTAATGTTCTTTTTCTAAAGCGTAGAGGTGCTGTCCTTAATCCTGGAAGCATAAGATCCTTCTCATAAGTATCAGCATTCCCATTTTGTTCTGGATCACTTATCACAGCTCTAACAAACAAACAAACAAAGAACCCCAAACCCCACATGATTTCATGGAACTAGTTTTATAGAATTAAAATATAAAGTCAAATTCTTACACTGGAACTAGCTACTACATAGAAGACATCAAGAGACAGCCGCAGAATCTATGCATTCAAATTTATGCATACAGTTTGAAAATAATGAATGTTTTATCTAAATTACCCAGTATAACTAAGTTAGCAATGCTTTCAACATTTAACCCTAATCACAACAAAATATTTGGTCACAATTCTGTAGCAGAGGCAGGATGCACTGGAAACAAGCACAGGGACTGATGAGCGGAGGGGGAAGTGGGAGAGAAAAAGGACAGGCACACCTGGTGTAGTCTACCTCCTCCCTAAACTCTTTCTCCCATCCTTCTTGCCACTCAGCTCACAGTGCCTCACAACATGATTCTCTTCTGGGTTCTTTTAAATACATGCAACTCCCCGTTTACACAGGGACTACGTTCCGAGGCACCTTGTGTTTAAGTGAAATCGCGTATATTGGGAACAACATTGCAAAAACCCTTAAACTTCTGGCAACCCTTGAAAAACACTTTTTAAAAAACCAAAAATCCACCAAACTCCACCACAATTGTTCCCTCCAAACATCCTTGCTTAAACTCCAACTCTTCACAGGCCTCAAAGGATTCTGGGATTTCACTTGCAAAGCTTCATGGGATTGCTAGACACTATTTTCACACCATTTTTGCCATTTACACACTCTTTTAGGGCTGGTTTTGCACTGTTTTGTGCCAGTTACGGGTTTGTAGAAATAATAATAATAATAATAATAATAATAATAATAATAATAATAATAATAATAATATCTTTATTGTCATAAATGTGTGTGTGTGTGTGTGTGGTTGCACATGCCTAGAATATGTGTAAATGGGGAGTTGCCTGTCCTCCTTCCCTAACACCAGGAATAGGAATACTGTAGCTCCATGTGCAGGCCTGAGATGATGGATGTTAACAAGAAAGGAGTATTCTGTCAGCCACAAAGAGGAAAAGTAAGGTGGAAGTCCTATCTTGTTCCACATTAGACCTTGCTTGCCAGATTATTTTATATTTGTTCTACATCCTGTTCAGAGGTACTAGATAATGACCATTAAAAAGGTAAAGGTACCCCTGCCCGTACGGGCCAGTCTTGACAGACTCTAGGGTTGTGCGCCCATCTCACTTAAGAGGCCGGGGGCCAGCGCTGTCCGGAGACACTTCCGGGTCACGTGGCCAGCGTGACGAAGCCACATCTGGCGAGCCAGCGCAGCACACGGAAACGCTGTTTACCTTCCCGCCAGTAAGCGGTCCCTATTTATCTACTTGCACCCGGAGGTGCTTTCGAACTGCTAGGTTGGCAGGCGCTGGGACCGAGCAACGGGAGCGCACCCTGCCGCGGGGATTCGAACTGCCGACCTTTCGATCGGCAAGCCCTAGGCACTGAGGCTTTTACCCACAGCGCCACCCGCGTCCCATAATGACCATTACAGGTTAAGTTTATCATTATCAATATCTTTTTTGTTTTCATGTTTTATGATGCAAATTACTATGTGGATATAGGAAAGTTGGGTTATAGAATCAATAATAAACAGTGACATAATCCAATTGAATTTAGAAATTTCGGCTGCAATCCTGATCCCATTTACTTGGGAATAACCTCATTGAATTCAATATGACTTAATTCACAGTAGACATGGTTAGCATTGGAACCTTAGGCACTTTGAATTAATTTGCATCCATTTTTCTGGAAAAAATACATATATCTACACTGTATTTATTATCTTTTATATACATCAACATTTATATATCAACATTTGTATTTATTATCTTACCTAGATAACTGATCTATCATTACTTGTTCCACTACAGTTTGTTTTTTTCTTTCTGCTGCTACATCCTCCTGCAAGCAAACATTAAAGAGAAAAATATATAATTACAGGAGTTAAGAAAATATTGTTAAAATGTTAGGATCATTTGGATCTCTTAAAAATTAACAGTGGATTTGGGTTGTAAAACTAGGACACACATAAAATGTCACCCACTAAAAAGCTTACACAGATTATTCATAAAATCAGTTATGGTTATTAGAGACACATTTTTATTCAACTAGATAAGAAAAGATAATTTGAGTGTCTGTCATATGTGCAAATTTCATTCTAACAGAAAGAAAAACTGTTTCCATTACTTCTGCTTCCATTCAGAGCATCACAGCATAATAGACTAGTTGAAGCTATGTGACTACAGTGATATGAATTAATTTTTATACGTTTTGTACACTGCTCAGAAATGAAACACAGTCAATCATATGAATCTTGGATCCTATGTCACTGAGATAAAGCTAAACCCAAGGTTTTGAGCAAGTAGGAAAGCCTCCTTATTTAAAAATGCTTGGAACAGAAACTAGTATATACAGAATTTTATAACAAGTTAACATTTCCCAGAAGACTTACAGCTTCCAATTTTCTTATGCTGTGCTGTAATGTGTAGGGTTTGCTTGTATAGCATTGCTGCAGAAGGGCCTTTTCATCAAAAACTGTCATCTCATCATATGTTTTGTTTTCAGGCTGTAAATCCTATGTGGGAATAAAACATGTTATCTAGATATTATCACTGATAATCAGTGGCCAAGACTAGCACTCTTGTTGCATTTGATTTGTGTTCCTCACCATTCAGAATGTGCAAGAAACATTTGTAGGTTCTAACCTATGCTAGTGTCCTGCACATAACTCTATTTTTTTAACATCCCAGAATTATGAGCTGGTTTAAACTTGCACTGTTCACCTATATATATGCTGATAAATTGAAATGGTCTAGATTTTGAGCACCTGGTGATCCACCTATGAGAACTTATTTCTGCAGTGCTAATTCTGTTCTCTGAATCAAGGCAGTATGTTATATGAATCCTGCATGCATAAATTCTATATACCCCCAATGGTCTGAGCACAGTACTTTCACATAAAGGTTAGTAGAGTTCCCAGTGTCAAATGAAGTATGAATGTTACCTTTTCCTCAGCTATTCTTTCTGGAGGTTTGTGTTGTTGGTTATCCTTTGCTTTTTTTTCTGCAGCTCTTTGAGAATACTGTTTATATCCCTCTTTCATTTCTGCTTCATACTGCTGATACTTGAGTTTGTATTTATCTGTTGGGGGTGGCAGATTTTCTGGTACTGTCTTTTGCTCCCACAAAGAAAGCTGAAAATGAATCATTGGGAGCAGTCAAAACAGCAACTGCAATTGTGAAAGTTTAATAGCGAACACTTTGTTTTTTAAAAGTTGCCAAAAACTATCATGGTACAATTGTAAAATGAAAGTTGAGTTATTTGTCAATAGGGCAGTTTATTATTGTACCAATTAACTACACAATGGGTGAAATGGACAAAGATTTCTACAAACTTCCATTATTATCTTGAATATAGCAATCCACATTTCACATGCAAATCATAAATGGGAAATATGAAAATATAAACTGACAAACTTTTTCTAAAATAGTTGGGGGGTTTTCAGCATCTGGATGCTTTATTTTTCTATTATTGGACCGAAGCAGAAATATTAATGATTCCATTATTATTTTGAAACACACACACACAAAGTTTTGTTTAATATGTTTCTTTAACTATATTACCTCAGCTTTCTCCAGCTCTGTTTTTCTTGCTGTCTGGGTAAGAGAAAGAGCAGAAACATAAGTGAAATATTTTTTTTAAAGATTTATAGTTAATCAATATAATTCAAACAGAAATTAATTTCAGATATGACTTTAGGGGGAAATTAAATGAGTTATAAATATTTAAGTGCAACCCAATGCTTAATCAGAAGTTGCCTCTAATGAACTCTGTAAGTCTAATGAACTCTGTAAGTCTTACTCCCATCTACACCAACAGTCCTTATACATAACCCAGAGCCACACATGCATATTCTATATACTTTGGTGTTATCAGACAGGACATGCATGAAAGGGTCTACTACAGACCCTTTAATCATGGCCATTCAGTTGAATGTTCCACTGAAACAACTGACTACCATAATTAGTAATGTCATGCAAATGGCCGTTGCAGCTACATGAATGAATAAGACTCTTTTCCTCTATAAATGGGTATGGTAGAGCCATACAGAATACAATCATGACCAGTGTATTTAGGGTGGTGATGCATGTTAAACAATGAATAAGATCACAACATAAAAATGTAATATGTATTTAAAAGTAGAAGTCAAACAGTTACCCTTTCACACTTTTCCAGCACATTTTACGTGCTATAAAATATTTAATTTCTTTTGACAAATATGGGCATTTGCTAAAGTACAAATATCATTTTTCCAAAATTAGGGCAATGAAATATATGCTATCAATACCCTAAAAATAAACATTATTTCATCAAAATGTTAGACACCAGCAAGGTTGTACTGTACCTAATAACCAGAGTAATCATACTGGGGGCAGGAAGAGAGGAGTGTCCATGATAAACGAACTGCCGCATCCAATCCATCCTGAGCTTGCACCAGTTGGGACAGAAGCTGGGTAGGAGCAGCTCTTTTCCTGGTAATTCTGGTGCTTTTCCACCCCTCCAGTTTCCCTCCCATTGGTTCCCATGGAAGGGCAATTCACTAAAGCAGCTTCAGGACTGGCATAGTTTTATTTCTGGTTTGGGGGTTTAACAAGAGAAAAATTTGGATCATGGGGATTCAATGCCTCCCTCTGTCTGCTCTGGCACTCCCTGCTGCAGCACTCACCTATCCAATGCATCTCTGAATTCAGTTGCGGTACATTGGCTCTCATTCAGTCCACCACTTGGTCATGCACCGCTTATGAATGATCATGCCATGGATGAGTGATGTTTTATTATGGACTGGCATGGCATTCACCAGAAGCAGCAGGTGAGTAGGTCCACATAGCCACCCTAGCCTTGCTGGATGAGAAGAGCAGGCTTTGCTTATACTTTATGTTCTTCCTTCCAAGATAGTACACCTCACTCCTTGTGCCTCATCTCCCAGTACCTATAACCCTGAAGATGATATAGCTTGAAAATACTCCTGTTAACAAACTAACCTGTTGAATATCATAATGCTGTGCATAAGGGCTCTGTAATGGAGTACCCCAGCTGATATTCGAAGATGAAAGTAGTAGACCAGTATGAGGCTGTCCACCACTGTATGGAGTGTAGGGATCACCATCCTAAAATAAAAGACTTTTTAAATGGCAAAGTGTTATGCTTTGTTAAACTGTTGCAGAATATCAATTGCCCAAGAATTCAGGAAGCAAATTCATAAAATTTATGGACATTGGAAATACACAAGAATGAGCTGTCTGACCACATTAGTCAGCCACAAGTATCATGTGTGTTGTGGCAAGAGTTTTATCACACACAAGTAACAATACGAATTTCAGAGAGAAGTGGGTTTTTTTTACATAAACCTAATCCAAATAATGCCAATTAGGAGCTGCAAAACAGTTTTCTATCCTGAAATATCTCACACAGCTGCATATTCTGCCCAACTTATTAAAAGAATATTCTAATGAATTCAGAAAATTAGTTAGATGACTGGTAAGTGACAACTAGGGCAGCATATTCAAGCTAGCACTCATTATGAGATCTATATATTATTTTGTTTTTTACTTCTAGCAACTGCCACATCTAAAAGTTGGTTAATTTTCTGAAATTAATAGGTAATTGTTACCTCATCCTCTGAATCTCCCAGCTTTCCCAGATCAAGGCATGGAACTCTGTAGAAAATCAGAAATTAGAGAATGTAGCAAGCTTTCAAAACTTCCTTTGGTTTTCAGATAGCACAATATGTTTTCCTTTCAAGAAGTTTCATTGATTTCTAAAGGGGTCTAATTAAAAAGTTCCAACCCTCCTTTTCCTTATGGAGTCAGGTAAAAGAAGAAAATAAAGAAAATAAATGCACTTCAGACTATTTCCATCCCCATTTGCAAAGAACCCTTGAAGTTCTGTGAGGAAGTTCTGGAAGGCAATTTTTTGTTACCATCTCATAAAGCTTGAGCCAATGAAGATTAATTCTTTTTCACTCTCCACTCAGATAAGTAGCAATTCAACATTACATTTCTATTACCTTTCTTAATAAATTTATTCTAATTATTTCTCTTATAACCATCCAGTAATCAAGTGAGATATTAATCGTAGTGAAAGTGGGTAATGCATTTGTGAATATTTATGATTTAGAAAGAGGCATTCGGTCTGCTATTAATATTTAGTATCTGAGACCACTCTAGTTCTCAGTGAAATAATTGAAATGTTGAAATGTGTAAAGATTTGCAAGAAGAAAACAGTGCTCAGCAAGGCTCCACTGCCTCTAAACATTATCTATAATAACACTTCTACTTACTTCACCCAGTGTACATAGATGCATGCTCAGCAGCAATCCCTATCTTTCTGCCTTCATAGTCTTCCTAAATCCTCTCTAGCTCACAAAGTCTTGATGTCCCCAAACATTCCTTTCACATCAGTCAGCTAGTTTTTCTCCTTTGTCTACATCTTTCATTCCTGAACCCAACAGCCCTCTGTACCTAGATAACTCTAATCCCTATATAAAAATTAATTTTCAAGTACAAAACTTGTTTAAAAAGCACATAAAACTCTGGAATAATTGTAGTAAAAAGAATGATACATTTCTCTCTACATAGTTTTCTTCAACGTATGAACTTGTTCATTGAGAAATACGTGAAAGCAAAGTAACAAAGTAACATAAAAACAAGAACACGGACCCTATAGATACACACACACACACACACACACACAAACAATAAATAGAATTTGATGAGAATTACTATTTTTCTTTGTAGAATTATGTAAGAAAAGTCTGGTACTAAGCAATTCTTATTTTCAGAGAGTTAGAGCTAGAGATCCTAAGGCTGAAGTTCTACTCACGAAAGCAGAAGGTAGGATTTTAGGGGGGGGATTCCCCCTTCCCCTGCAAATCTGCTCTGGAGGACTGGAATGCCCTCAAGAACAATGTGGGAGGTGGGGAAGGAAGAGACAGGAGGAATCTGAGAAAATACCCATTGTCCTTCCAAGAGGAACAGCATCCACTGGACCAGCTGACCGTCCATTAACAGAAGGAAGGGCTGCTTTGGATTCATATGAAATGAAAAACGTGACAGTACTGTGAAGGGGTAGCGGGGGGGGGGAGAGAGAGAGAGTAAATAAAACATAGGCAGTAAAAAAAATGAAAACATTGACTTACTCAGCTGGTCGAGGGCCATGTTTTGTTTTTGTATGCGGCCTCCATCCCTAAGGGAAGAAAAAAATAGAACCATATTTAATTCCAGGGTTTTTTTTCCATATTTCTAAACCCTAAGATTTGAAATCTTTTAAATGAGTATCAATCAGGGTCGAAATACATTTAAATGATGGGCACAGTAGTGGAGAAACCAAGGTTTGTTCTTGGGTTTACAGCATGTGATTTGTCCGGAGGAGACAAACCACAGCCCCAGGATTGGATGGCACATTAAACCTTGCAGCAGCACAGCAGCAGGAAGACCAGGGTTACAGTATTTAGTGACATGTCAGTTTAGTGACATGTATTTTTCATACCACAACAGGATAGGACAAATGCGGTGTCTGATAGTATGTTGTAACAAGGGATTGTTTTGAAAAATTATAATATTAGCAATGAGAGACAAATATGAAAGAGGATCCAATACTGAACTTCACCTACCATGTACCAAGGACTTTCCAGAGAATGGTTAATGATATATATATATATATATATATATATATATATATATATGCTTTCGTAGATACAAAAAACCTGATGGCTCCCTAGGACACACTATCTACCGGAAAAAAACACATACCAACCGCTACTTACATGCACAATCACACCACCACCCTGCACAAATAAACTCCGTAGCCAAGACTCTCATCTCCAGAACCAAACGCCTGGCTGACAAAGACCACTTGACAACTGAGTTACAGAATCTCTCAAATGTGTTAATCGCCAATGGATACCAGCAAAACAGGGTTACGAAGCTAATCCAAAAAGAAACACCCCCCAAAAACCAAGACACAGAAGAAAACAATGGCATGGCCCTCCTTCCTTATATCAAGGGCACTACAGATAAAATTAGCAAAATCCTCCATAAACACAATATCAAAACAGCCTTTTGCACCAACCAAAAAATAGCCAATATCCTCAGAAACCCCAAAGATAAAATCCAGTTGGAAAACCAAGGGGTCTATGAAATACCCTGCAAAGCCTGCCCAGCCACGTACATTGGACAAACAAACAGACGAATAAATGCACGTATCGCAGAACACAAGAATGCCGTCAAAAAAGAAGAAAAAACTTCCTCTCTTTTCCAACACATGAAAGAAACAGGACACGAAATTAATTTTGCAGATTCCAAATTGCTCTTTAACATGGAACATCACCACAAGAGAATAATCATGGAAGCCATCGAGATAGAGAAACACCCTCACAACATGAACAAGCGTGACGACACGTCCCGCCTGCCAGACATCTGGAAATTAGCCCTCCCCACAAAAACCGACACCAGATCCAGAGGCACACAGAACGCCATCACCAATCAACCACACCAGACCCAAACCCAGACCCTCTCCACAGATAAATTACAGACACCATCCAGTAGCCAAACCATGGTGGCACCTCCGGATGCTGCACCCCCCTGCAATCCCTACACAGATCTGGCTGGCACAGGGCACAAAACCACAGCTCGCCCCTATACCCGAAGCCAAGCCAGAGCACAACTAAGTGCAGTACAGCCATCTTCTCAGAAAAACTTTTCACAAAGTTCAAGAGGTCAAGACACGAAGGCTTGAGCAACTAATCCACACCTAATGACCCACCTAAGTGGTACTCAGAATATCACTCAAGAAATCACTCAAGATACCCCTCAAGTAATTAAGGAACAAAAGAAGAAAAGGCACACTAGCCTGGGAACTTCCTCTCTGCCCAGAACATTGGAGGCTATACACCACACCCCCTCAACAGTATTTATAGGAACTCAAACACTGAGATCCTGCTCTGTTCCAGTAACAAGAAGCCGAAAGCACCAGCCTGAAGATGACGAGTGAGACCTCGTCGAAACGTCGCCTAGACACCCCAACTTTTACACGGGAAGACACCCGAGGACACCAAAACCTGCATATATATATATATATATATATATATATATATATATATATATATTTAATATGCTCAACTTACTTGAGCAAGTTTGTAGTTCCTTGAGGACAGGGCTGCTTGCTTTCTTGGAGATGCAGCAACTCCTTTAATCTCTAAATCCATTTGAATTCAGGTATTAACTACCTGTAAAAAAAAAAGGAAAGGAAAAAAAGGTTATTCTTTGTATTTTTCTTTTGTGTGCATGCACGCTTCTTCAGATACGGAAGCTCATACCAAGAACAAACTTAGTTGGTCTCTTAGGTGCTACTGGACTATTTTTATTATATTTTTTTTTATATTTCTACTGCGTCAGACCAACATGGCTACCTACCTGAGTCAAAAGGGTGACTGAGTTGTTTCAACTATAATGTAGTGTGCTTGCAAGACACAAGGGAGTATGACATGAAAATAAGAAATATTGTATGGGGGGTGCCAAATATTGTCCTCTCTTAGGGCACCATACTATATGACCAAAGTCCACCCCTGAACATAGTTTCCATGATGGCTAGTAGCCACTGATTCACTCCGAAGACTCAGTTAGGGTCAGGGTTGTGCTGTCCTTTGAGGACAGTGATTCATCTCTCACTACTGGTGGCAGAGCCAGTAACTATGGGGGGCTAGCCAGGCTTTTTGCCCTGGGGTTAAGCTTCCCAAGGGGCGCCATTGAGGCTCCCAGCCTCTCTGTGTGTGTGTGTACTCGTGTACGCAAAGCAGCATTTGGGGGGGGGTTTGCCAAACTTGGTCTTTGACTGGGCTGAAATAAAGCCTAGTTTTGCCCCTGCTGGTGGGAAATGCTGTAACCCTGCCTGAGTCCATAGAACAGGGCGGGTAATAAAATATATTGACTAAATCGTTCATTTAAACCAGCAGACCTGTTTACAGAACCACAGAATGGCAGAGTTGGAAGGGACCCTCCTCTGATAATCTACTTCCCTACTTCCCACTACAACATTAATATCTGCAAATAAATGTATTGGGGAGAGGGGGCTGCCCTGCAGGACAGTTTTTAAAGTAACTTGGGAGTGATCTAAAGCTATGGTTTTCCCAGTAGTGATGTATGGAAGTGAGAGCTGGACCATAAAGAAGGCTGATCTTCGAAGAATTGATGCTTTTGGATTATGGTGCTGGAGGAGACTCTTGAGAGTCCCATGGACTGCAAGAAGATCAAACCAATTCATCGTGAAGGAAATCAGCCCTGAGTGCTCACTGGAAGGACAGATCCTGAAGCTGAGGCTTCAATACTTTGGCCACCTCGTGAGAAGAGAAGACTCCCTGGAGAAGACACTGATGTTGGGAAAGATGGAGGGCACAAGGAGAAGGGGACGACAGAGGACGAGATGGTTGGACAGTGTTCTCGAAGCTACTGAGTCTGACCAAACTGCAGGAGGCAGTGGAAGACCTGGCGTGCCTGGTCCATGGGGTCACGAAGGGTCGGACACGACTAAACAACAACAACAACAACAACAACAACAAAGGCAGGTGGGCCCCCTGGGACTTCCTTTGGGCTCTACTACATATTTAGCTAGCCTAGATGGCGGCGCCTTCGGGCACGCAAGGGATCCCTCGGGACTCCTTCGCGCACGGTCCCGTTTCCTCGCCCCCAGAAGCGCGCGCGGCCGCGGAGCTCTCACCGCCGCCTGCCGCCGGGCTGGAGATCCGCGGCCAAGCGCGACGGCCGCCTCTCGGTTAACGCGGCTCCGTCCATGGCTCCTCGCCCTCCCTCTTGGGGCGGCGAAGGCGGCCCGTCAACAAATCTTTTCTCTCACGCGCGCGCGCGTGCGCGCGAACTCTGTGGAGATCCGACTTTGATGCTAAGCGCGGCGGAGAAACGGCGGTTGGAATTTGAAAGGCCCCGCTAGTTTCTCCGTTAACGGCTCCCGGGAAGGGATGCGTTGAGCGCGCGCCCCGGCGGTTGCCTAGGCGACCGGTAAACAAGACGGAACGCCTCCCGCTCCCTCAACCGCCACTTGGGCGCGTTAAGTTGAAAAGACGCCCCGAGAGGCGAACGGGGAGGCCGGGCGAGCGCCCCGATGGTCTGCCGCTCTCACCTCAGCGACGACGTCCCTTCCTTCCTCGGCCTATTCCCGCCTGGGCGCTTCCTTGTCCAGCCTCCTTCCCAGCCCCACCTCTGCTCTCTCTTCTGGGCTTGTTCCGAGGGAACAGTCCGTGAGCTCCTCCCTAGGAAGCGAGCCTAGAGCAGCTAGTGCTGCCCTAGGAGGGGCGCATAGAGACCGGGGGGGGGCAATGTAGGGAAGCGGGCACCCACCCACCCACCGACCCATCTACCTTCCCCTGAAATCGCAGAGACAGCGTTGCATTTGCAAAAAAAATGCGGCAGCTCCTCACCTGGAGCTTGCGCACTTTTTTTTACCAGGCATACCTATAAGCGGGAAGGAGGGGCGACTACTAAAGGCCACCGTTGCAACAACCTCTCTACTCCATACGCTGCTGCCATAACAACATCGCGGTGCTCAGGTCAAGTTCCGGGGTGCAATTCCACAAATCGGATTACGAGGTATATATGAGCCAACTTTTGCTACTATGATTGCCGTCAGCTGCCCACCTGTTTCAGCGAGCGGCCCTGGTTTGTGTGTTTTTATAAAGTTCCTGCACCGGCCAGCTTTCTCCTAATGCAAGAAGCCACTATTTCGCTCATGATCCCAAGCAAGCATGATGTTGTAAGATGGAACCATGTTGTTGTTTTTTCCCACACCCAGGCTGCAGGGCAATCCGTGTCAGGTTTTTCTATCCTGACAAAAGTTTCCCCCCTCATAATGTATTTTATGCTGCTCTTGGTAATGGATACAGTAATTTGAAATTAAGTTTACTGTATGTAGAATACACAAGTGTGAATTCAAAGATAGCTTTATTTCTGTTAAATAAATCATGACACAGTGTAATATGTCATGTTTGGTTGCTCATCTGAGGATGCATTTACCTGATTTTAAGACCTGCTAAGGAAAAGATTATTATTATTATGTCTTCATATGTAAAATCACCTATGATTAATACTTCTTCAATCCTACTGAAGACCTATTTAAAAAACATTTCATAGAATTCTGTCTTCATAGTACTGGCAGGGATCAAATAAGTAAGGAATATTTGTCCTCAAATTTCAAACTTAGGGAACATTTTTCATCTGTTTTTGTCCACTTACACCTAAATATGGGTTATATGACACCCCATCAGGTAAGTTACTACATTTCACTGTTGTTAGCTAGTCAGTTTTTCAATACTTCTGCTGCTCTATACAATTTTCAGGAAGCCTGGCAAAAATTATTAAGATTGAGGTAACAGAATCATAGAATTGTACAGTTGGAAGGGACCAACTCCCTGCAATGCAGGAATCTTTCACCCAACATGAGGCTCATGCTCTACCAACTAAGCTATCCCAGTACAGTACCTTTCCACAGTGAATTGTATAAACTTTCCAGAGTATTTCAATTGTTTCAGAACAAAAGTAAAAAAAACAAAAACAAAACAGGACTCACTGCTTGTCAGTACACAGTATTTGCTCCAAATCCTTTCTGTGGAGACATTCATGTGAAACATGTAGACTTTAAAAGTAAGAAATTGGAAAAAAATGTATACAACATAATCTGTTACCATTCCTTGACTTTAATAGTTGTAAAAAATACATTGCATCTTTACAGTGTAGTGGAATACTATATAGAGCTTTTAGGGTAATATATTCAGAAATACCTTTATATAGAATAAATAGAAAAGTTTCATAAATATATTGTTTCAATGCATATTGCAGCAAATGTGAACCTGTTCCATAATAATTTAAAAGTGCATTATAATATGTGCAATAATTCATCTCGTTTTTAAATATAACTTATCTACCTAATTCATTTTTAATACGTCGTCTTAACCCAGTCTCTGGTTCTGCTGTTTCTTGATCAATTACTTCATCATCTTCCATCTTCTTTGGGTCTTCCGTTGGACTAAGGAAGAACTCATGATCATAGTGCTTATGCACCTCTTCATCACAGTGTTCCTCAATATCTGCAAACAGCTCTTTATGGCCACAGTTTTCATTATCACCCTCACCCATCTCTGCCTCAGGATGTGAACTGAATGACTGAATAAGATCTTCAAGCCTCTCTTGGCACGTGTGGCTAACATCTGAATTTAAAAAAAAAAGAGGGGAGGGAAGAAAATGGGAGATTTAAAATTATAATTAAGTCCACTGTCTGTATAATAATTAAGACAAAGCTGCTATCAGAAAATTGCAAATGAGCAAACAGCTTTATTAGAGATGGCAGTATACACTACATTAAAGTATACAGTTCTGTAACTTGTCTATTAAATCATAAGTAATGTTTCTTTTGTTCTGTAGCTTAAACAAATATATAGATAATTCACAGGCCCACCTTCCTCTATAAAAATGAGTGAAGAACACCATAGAAGCCGCAGATCTGCGTCCACTAATAATGTAATGAAAGGGTGGGCAATCTTTGGTCTGTTCTCCCCTGTTTCCCCCAAACTACACCTATCTCCCCTACACCTTATGTCAGAGCTTTCCAAACTTTTCATGCTGGTGACACACTTTTTAGACATGCATCATTTCATGACAGTAATTCAGTTTTACTAGCAAACCAGAGGTTAAACTAACCTCTTTCCAGTGCTGAGAGGAGCGCAGGGAGTGTTCATGCAATACCCCTACACATGACAGCTGACACACATGTCGCGACACAGTTTGGAAAGTTCTGCCTTATGTCATATATGGTCAGGTAGCGGTGCAGCTGGTTCAGCTGCATGCCTAAGTATTCCATGGCAAACTCAATAGCACCACTGATTCATGCACAAAGCAGGTTTGAAGTCACAGCCTATCAGCCAATGGGCAGTGAGTTCAAGCCTGTTAGATTAGCTATGACTGTGCTCCCAGCCCTATGCTCAGCACTGTGGTTCCCAAGTGTCCAACAAGCACCTGAGTGTTAGACACTTGAAAACTACTGGACAAGGACTTGGGACAGGTTGGCAGGACAGCCTGCCTGTTGAAGTTGTCCAACATAGGTGGGGACAAATAGCAATTTGGCACGCTGGGCTAAAAAGTTTCCCCACCCCTTATCTAATGGGAAGGCATGCTGTGCCCTCTAATTTCTTAGAAAGAACAATACTACACTATACCACCAAGTCATACAAATATGTCAAGACCCGCAAAATTGTATGCAAAACCTTCAGCCAGAGTCTCAAGCAGGGGTTATTACAGTGAGATTTTAACATACTAAAGATGTAAGTACCTTCTGGTTTCATTGTTGATTTGTCCAATCCACTTTCTTTCATCAGCTTCCTAATGGACTCAAGCTGTACCATAATTTCATCTTTCTGTTCCGAAGCCAAGGCATTAATGCTGACATGAAATTAATTGAAAAGTCAGCAGGTAGTAATAGAGAGCAGCTGTTAATATGCCACCAAAATTCTTTTTCTAGCCCTCTTATAAGAAAACTCTCACTGATATATTCTTATGACAGCACTTAAGAATCAGGCTGTGGAACCATCTTTCAACTATGCCAGTCACTAGGGACCACCTTTCATCACATCAAGGAAGCAATAGGAATTCTCCTGCTGTCGGGATTCTGCAATCCAGATTAAAACTACAGGACACAAACTGGCAAGTGCAAAGAAGCAAACAGGCACAAAACCTAACTGTGTCTGCCATGATGTGGGCAGAAGCCGATAAATGTACCTATGTAATATTGCTCAAGACACATGCAAAAGAAGAGATCCAAGATATATTCAAACTCTCATCTACTTATCCACCACTACAGTGGTACCTCGGGTTACATACGCTTCAGGTTACAGACTCCGCTAACCCAGAAATAGTGCTTCAGGTTAAGAACTTTGCTTCAGGATGAGAACAGAAATTGTGCTCTGGCGGTGCGGCAGCAGCGGGAGGCCCCATTAGCTAAAGTGGTGCTTCAGGTTAAGAACGGTTTCAGGTTAAGTACGGACCTCCGGAACGAATTAAGTACTTAACCCGAGGAACCACTGTATTAGTCTAATAAATGTTTAAATGGGTCATTCAAGTGATACTGGTGTAATTTATTTTTCAGTCGTAAAATATTCAGACCTATAAATACTCCAAATGCATGAAAAGCCTGTATGAAGAAAACTTAATATTGGCACCTTGAAATCTGAATTACTCATCCAGTCTTGTGTAGCCTACATTACCAAAATGCTGTTTAGGGTCTAGGAAGGGAATGTAAAGATTGTTCCAGTAATTTTTTTAATATAGTCAATTATTGTTAATGCAGAAAATATGGAGACAGCACAACAATTCACATGCTAATATTCTTGTGATGTTTAATCACATTTACCAACTCACAATTGTCTCAAGAGCTGAAATATTACTAAATCAAATCCCCACCAAAATACTCACCAGCTTGAAAGTGGATCTAACTGATTCAATAAAGAATTTAACATTTTCTCTGTCTGTGCTAGATGTTGCTCCAACTCCATAAGCTGGCGTTCTACAAGTGAGAACAAATACTTTTAAAGCAGTGTTGCTAATAGGTATTTAAAAACCAATAATCTATTTTTCTACTTTTCCAGAGGAGCTATGGAACTGGACTAAAGCATTCAAGGGCTGTAATCCTAAACCTATTTTTATATTTAAAAAAACCAAGTTTCACTGAATTTACTTCAGGATAAACATGATTGGGATTGCATTATAAATAATACAATGCAGAGAAAATTTGAAAAGGTCATTTTACCAGCAAAATTGGCTAGGAAAAAACAGCTTCACTTATTTGATTAAATGAGCAGCATTTGATCTGGCAGACATTTTTTCCTAAAAACCAAATACATACATTATCAATACTCGCAAGAATTCTGTTCTCCAAAGTAGATTGCTGTAGTCTGTGCTAAGGAATAATGATACAAAGTAGCTTTGCCATAACTATTCAGTAAGCAGTGAGTGGAATGCATTTTCATGAATGCACTCAACTCATAAGACAGCAGCCCAAAAAGCAATTAAGATTATACAATTCCACCAATTTGATTGCTGCTCACACAAACGGGGGAACAGAAGCGCTGTAGAAAAAATATATCAAGATTCTTAAGCTGAGGTGTGATTGCCTGAACTACTATGTGCAAAGTGTATGATAAAGATCTCTAGGCCGGAGATTTCTGAATCGACTTCTACCTGTTTCTTTTGTCTTAACTTCTGTAGTTTTTTCTTGCTTGGATAAGCTTTCCTCTTGAGATTTCATCTATGAAAGAGTAAACAAAATTTACCACAAAAGCTTTTAATATTGAAAATAACTAAACCTCAAGAAAATGTTTCACTCGTTTACATTAATGTGAAGACACGAGGCAGGTAATAATACTTTATCTTGGAAATATAGTGTAATCCAAAACATATTTCCCCATCTGCTTAATTTATGTTTCAGCCTCTTTATTCTCACTGACTTCACTATGACAAAACCAGCATCAATCCAAAATTTCCAGTTGAACTAGGCTGAAAACTAGCCCCTTCCTAGTCATAATGCTTTAACTTACAGTTCAGTTTTCCTGATTTAGTCATACCGATTTTAGTATAATTTATTTCAGATACAATCCTAAGAATGATTAAAATTCCCACTACTGCCTTTTGTGATCTGAATTCTGTATACAACACAGACATTTCTCTAATATCACAAAAGCCTTTCTAATAGAAGAACCTTTGGGAGACACAATTGTTGCTTATACTCCTAACCACATTTATTGGACTATAAAAGCATTTACAAGTCCAGCCTAAGGCATTTATATTTCATTCTTTCCTGAGAAAGCAAAGGGCTCCAATACTGGAAATACATATATTTATGACCAGGTTGCAAACTTGTTGTGGAGAACCCAGTATGCCAATGCATATTTCAAGTGTTGCTGGAGAAATACACTTCTCCACTTGGTTATCATTTCCACTTCCACTATCAGACTAGGTGACTGCCTATCTGTAGACACCCTTTCCTGTGATGCAGACCCAACCACCTCCAACTCCAACTGGCTTTGCTGTTGACTTCTCTCCTTCTTGGAGTCAATCATTTGCCTAGCCAAGGGTTGTGCTTGCTGATATGTTTGTTTTGCTGCCTGCTTGAGCATAGAGCAGGAAGCTACTTGAGGGTTTCAGCTGAATAGGATGGTGAGGGGAGGATGTGGCATCCTAATAATAATAATAATAATAATAATAATAATAATAATAATAATTTATTTCTACCCCGTCCATCTGGCTGGGATTCCCCAGCCACTCTGGGTGGCTTCCAACAAAAGATTAAAAATACATTAAAACATCAGTCATTAAAAACTTCCCTAAACAGGGCTGCCTTCAGATGTCTTCTAAACGTCAGATAGTTGTTAATTCCTCTGACATCTGATGGGAGGACATTCCACAGGGCATACGTCACTACTGAGAGGGCCCTCTGCCTGGGTCCCTGTAACGTCACCTCTCGCAGTGAGCGAATCTTGTCTTGTTTCTGCTTTGAGTCAGAACAGAGACTGTTCTAAAAGCTATGTGCAGAGGCATCATTATCATCACCTTTTCCTGCATTGTTCCAAAGTTGTTTGGGAGTGGGGCATGGCAGTGTCATTATCATTACGCACATGACTGAACAAATCCCAGTTCTGTACAACTACGTGGATCATAAATTCTCTTGCTTACTAATCCCAGTTCTGTACAACTACGTGAATCATAAATTCTCTTGCTTACTAATAGTTACCTTTAAGAACTTGTATAAAGCAAATACACCCACACCAACAGCATACAAGGGCATGAGTGTTAAAGCAAAGTCTTTGCCATTCCCTCTAGTCCGCTCAGTCTTCATCTCCTTCTCCATTGCATTTCTCATTTGTTGGATGCTTTGGTATGTTTTGCTTTCAGAACCCTCTGAATTCATCTGTGACTGCAAGATTCTCTCAGATCCACCTGAAAAACAAATAATACATACATACATGTAATACATACATGCACATACAAACAGACTGAAATAAAAAAAATGAGAAGCACTCAAGTCTGTGAAGAAGAGAATTGTTCTGCAGCATAGTGAAATCAGCTTCACTGTGGAAAGCAAATCCAGGTACAGTCTCAATGCGATAGTGTGAGATTGGCTGATGCTAATGAACATGACAAGAGGCTTCTCCACTCCACACTTAAAATTAGCCCCTCTTAAAAACTCTTATAAGTCTCCTCTTTGCAGATGGAGCTCTGCGGTCACATCAGACACAGGAATTGGCTGGGAATGTTTTAATTTTATTTTGTGCTATATGTTGACATTTTGTTTGATTTTATGTCTTGCTGGAGCTTGAAAGACTGCTATACTTTAGCCATCTTACAATGGAAAAGCAACATTAAAGTATGAACAAATAAAGCAAGTTATGAGCAACATTCAGTTAAAGCACAAAACACATTTCCCATTCCCCACAGCTTTGACACACTGGCAGAGTAAGAAGAGAAGTATGGAGCCTACTAGTATATTAAAGGGGGGGATTAGGATAGCTTAAATCTGAACTAAGGAGACATACCTAATGCTGCTATAGGAATGGCTGAAATTTTAATTTCTAATTTTCTTGATGGATTTTAGGCCAAAAGGAAGTTAGCCAGGTTTCCCCCTTGAAAATATTTATCTTCCAAGACTTTATCAATTTTAAGAGCATAGAAACAAAAGTGGGTTTTTCCTCATTCTGCCCTAGAAGTTATCTTTCCCAGTATGCATAAAAGGCAGAAAACGCCAGTTTTTCACATTCCTTGGGACTAATTCAATACTACAACTCAAAATATTATTATTCAAAAAAGAAAAAGAAGAAAGAATTAATGGGTTAAAGGGGGAAGGCAACATCCAAAAGTTGGAACTGTTTCGTAGCACACTAATAACATAAGTGACACCGATGACGGTTAATGGCCAGCATCACCTTTCTCCTCCAGTATCACCCATACCTTTGCGGCAAAAAAAAAAAAAAAATTAATGGGGGCGGGACTTAAGAAGATTGCTTGGGAAAGGATCCTCTTGGAAAAAAAACAAAACACAGTTCGCTAACTAGTCTAATGAAGCTCCCTCGTTTCCCTCTATAACCGGACTGCAGGGATGGGAAGGGGAAGGTGGCCGACACCATATACCGTGGCGCTGCTGATGAGGATCGTGGCGACCCGGGGAGGCCTTGGTCCCCCGCGGAGACCTGCCGCTTCCGCCGAACATCCTCGGCATCACCACGAAAACGCAGAGCACCAGCAAGACGGAGATGAACACCTGCTGCACCGACGACAGCACCATGGCGGCAGCGGGGAAAGGAACAGCAAGAACGGCAGCAGCGGAGGAAACGACCAAAAGGAGAAGCGAAGGGCGGCAAACGGCCCTTGGCCAGCCGGGAATCGTCGAACGGCTCGTGTAACGGTGGCAAGACGCCTGGGGAGAGCGAAAGTCAGCAGCGCAGGAGAGAGGGAAGTTGGGAGAGGAAACCATTAACGTGGGAAGGGCGACTTCCGGCCCCGCGCCGCCTCCGCTTTTCCTTTCTAGCGCCCCCTTTCGGGCTCCAGGCGACACGGGAAACCGAAGCGCCTTTTGCCTTCGTGACGCTCTTCATAGGAAATTAGAGAGCGATGTTAGCTAGTTGAACTCGGGCTAGACCCATTGACGCTAATGGGCCTATCGGCTCTCTGAGGAAAACTTAGCGGAGGGAAAACCCGCGCGGCTTCTGCCGGTTGCCTATATAGAAACGGCGCCCCGAAGTGGCCAGAGCCTCCGCCTCCTCCTCCTCCTCCTGAGGGCGGGAATACATCGTCCCGAGGCGGCTTGGGGGGCGGAGCCAGGAGGCGGAGACCGTTAGGGCAACGGTCGCTGCGCGCTCCGCCCGGCCCGCGCGTTCCTGTCAGGGCGCGGCGGCCATGAGGCGGTTGTGGCCGTGGCTCGTCTTGGGGCTGGTCGTCCCCGAGGAGGAGCCCGTCAAGCAGAACTTCCAACCCTACCCCCAGATTACTAACCAGAACTTTATCCGTCAGTACGTGGACGCCCACAACAACTTCCGCACCAAAGTCCAGCCCACCGCTTCCAACATGCTGTACATGGTGTGTCCCCGGTGTGGGGTGGAAGGAGGAAAGGGAGCCGTGGGCCTAGCCGGGGTGTGGGTGTGCAGGTAGCGGGCAGTGCCGGATCTACCTATAAGCTAAACAAGCTATAGCAAGCATAGGCAAACTCGGCCCTCTGGATGCTTTGGGACTACAACTCCCATCATCCCTAGCTAACAGGAGCAGTGGCCAGGGATGATGGGAGTTGTAGTCCCAAAAAAACATCTGGAGGGCCAAGTTTGCCTATGCCTGAGCTATAGCTTAGGGCCCTGCTCTCTTGGGGGCCCCAAAAAAAATTAAAGGGGGAAAAACATTTCCAAAATATATGATAAAAAACAAAATAAAACCTACATCCAGCAACAGTGTTTTGTGTTGTGTAGGCTCCTATGATGTAATGCACCTGCTAGCCTGCTCCCTAAAATATCACTGGTTTTAGAAACTTACTAGGTCCATAAATTACCATATAGCATCAAAAAAACAGCGACAATTTGCTGTTGACAAAGGACAGCTGGACATATAAACAGCCCCATTACCTTCGGTAGCTGAGGGCCTCATCACACCTAAATCCAGCCCTGGGGAAATGTGAATACTTCACTCCGACCAATTGTGCCGCAAATAGCTCGGTTCTGTTCCCCACCACCAAAAAAAATAAAGCCTGCCCCTCCCAAAAAATAATTCCTGGCTACACCCATGAAGGGAGCTGAGACAATTTGCAGTGCCGCTGGAGAGGCGAACCCCTCCCCCTGGCTTCTCCTTGGGCCCTAAAAGGGAGAAACTCCCACTGTCATCCACTACATCTTAAGGACAGTCAATGAACATTGGACATTTTTGAGAAGCAAACCATGGCTGCCCTACAAGAGGGGTAGTGGGGGTGCCTGCCTCGGGCAGCCAGTGTTGGCTGTATTGAGGGCGGTGAGAGAGTAGCAGAGATGGGTAGAACACAGAAGTGAAAAATATCACTGTACTCAAACCTTGGTTTCAATTGCTAATTTCCCACCTGGGCAGGGTCATTGTTTAAAACTGCCATTTTCCTTTGTGCCCCTCCATCCCTGCTTTATTCAAACCTCTGTCATTTTTCAAACTATTTTCCTCTCAGTTCTCTTCCTCTCCACTTCACTTTAACTTCTGTTTTAAACCACCAGTTTTCCCATGCCAGGTCATTCATTGGTGATGTGCTCCACCTACCTCACTTTGATTCCAGGATTGTGCTAAGGCACTACAAATCCACCAATGAGGGCTGTGCCATATGTCTTTTTTTATGTGTAAAGGAAGACATTGTTTGAGAGCTGGGTGGAAAAGGTATTGAAAGTGAAATATACTCAGAGTCGAGCGTGAATTTTATGCCCTTTATTCAGCTCATAGTAGCAATGAATGAAAATTTCCCCAAAACATCTAGCTATATATACATTATTTACACAATGGGCCCCATGTGATTGGCTAATTCCGGGCTGCTCCTGTAGGCCAATCAGGTTGCAGATTCACTTCTTCCAGAAGCCTGATTGGCTGCTTCTGCAGGCCAATCAGGTTGCAGATTCACTTCCACCTGGAGCTGGATTGGGTGGCTCCTGCAGACCAATCAGGCTGCTACATTCTGGATCCTATTGTTCTAGGATTCAGCTCAGTACATAACAGAAAGAAAGACTTGTAATCTGAATTTTGACTGAACTGAAAATGTGACATCGTTACATTTACTAGAGCTGCATAACAAAAATAATTAATAGCTGTGTGTGATACTTTTGTATTTTGCAGACATTTGATCTCGCCTTAGCTAAAATAGCCAGAGAATGGGGAAAGAAATGCATATTTGAATATAACCCAGTTAATAATATTCACCCTGAATATGCATTTAGGCCGTTTGGAGAAAATATGTACAGGACACCTGCCAGAAGTAAACCATTTGATCCTGCTATTCCTATTTCAGTATTTCATGATGAAGTAATATACTACAACTACAGCAGCAACACATGTGAAATGATATGTAGACATTATCTTCAGGTAAGTTGTATTTTTCACTGATCAGATTGTCAACCATTTTTGTATCTTCAGAAACAGAAGCCCCTTAAGGTTAGACATTTTCCTGGCACATGTAAATAATGAATACAGCTCTTAATCAGACACCAAAGATTTAACAGTTATCACCCCCAAATTAACAGAAATAGTATTCCATTTACATGTCAACCAGGATGATTGAATACTAACATAAAACATAAAGGTACCTTTAGCCAAATGACAATAAAGAGAGGAGTCTGAAGAGAAACTGAATATTACACAATGTAGTTTATATTATATAATCTACTTTTTTCCAGGTTGTTTGGGCTAATACTTATAAAGTTGGCTGTGCTGTTATCCGCTGTCGTCAATCACAAGATGGAAGGAGGAATAGTGCGACATTTGTATGCAATTATGGTCCATCGTAAGTTAACGAATGTTAAAGAGATCCAAACTTGTGTTTACACAAAGTGTTCTAACTTGCAGAATTGCATGAGTATTCACAGTTGAATTAAGGAGCAATCTTAACTGCTCTTTACAGAGCTATAGAACCATTGGTGCATCTGCGGTTCTGCCATGCACAATGACTGGGACAGAAAGTACAGGACAGGCATATCACTGTGCCAGCCTCTGCCAGGGTGTAGGTGGCAGCTCAGTCCCTCCCCACCCATTTAAAACTGCTATCAGTGGGAACCCCACAGGCATCACCCCACTGGCAGCAACCAGAAGGAAGCTGACAGGCCTGTAGGGCTGGGCAAAGGTACACCCTTGCCTAATCCAAACCTCCCTAGCCTGGTGTAAAGGAGGTTGGATTGCTTTCTTACTGTATGTATGTATTGCATCTTTTACTGTTGATTGCAAAGCAAACAGAATACTCAACTGCTGTTTTCCAGCCATTTCTATGATTAACAATTATTTCTGTTATCCAAATGGTTAGAAATACAAAATGTGATTAATAAGACATTCACAATTTTAGTTCTATTACAACTGTAGTTTAAAATTTTATTGCATTGTAAGTACCGTACTCTTCCATGTATAAGACGAAGTTTTTTTACTCTAAAGTTATGTTCAAAAACTTGCCTCGTCTTATAGAAGGATAGTGAATGGGGTGGACGAGTGATTGGCTGCAGCTGCAAGCAGGAGCATGTCAGCGACAATTGTTGGCTGCTAGAAGGGCTGCTTTGCATTGGCTGCTGCTTCTCTAATTGGGTTGGTGATTGGCTTCTGCAGCAAACACTGCTGTTGATTGGCTGTCGCTGCCATGATTGGTGGCTGCTGTTCTGGGACACACGTGATTGCCAGTGGACAGCTTTTCTCAGTCCGGTATGAATTTTTTTTGCTGGGGAAAGGTCTGTTTGCGATTGGCTGTCGCTATGGCAAGTGGGCGATTGTCTGCTGCTGGCAATTGTCAGTATCGATGCTGCATGTGAGTGATTTTTGGCACACACCCCTCCCAGCTGTAAAACTCTGGGCAATCCTTTGCAAAAAAACTCAACAACTCTGAGCCATCTCCCCTCCCCCTCCCATTTTCTTAAATTTGAGTCCCCCAAAATAGGAGGCGTCTTATAGACGGGGGAGTCTTATAGATGGAAAAGTACAGTGTGTTGTCTCCCTAGCAGGGAGGAGCCATCAGTCATAGAATGCATCCTTCCATGAAGAAGCTTCTTGGTTCAGTCCTCAGTATCTCTGCTTAAATAATCATGTACCAGGTGCTGGGGAAATACCTGACATTCCAGGAGAATCACCAAATCAACTTCATGCACCCTAGAAAGTGGGCTCTGGTCCATGAAAACTTAGACTAAAATAATTTTTTGACAATGGCACTTTCTGTAGTTTCGACTACTACAGGAGACCATTTTTTGTGTTTTTAACAGTGTTGTAAGTCACTTGGAGACCTTTAGGTAACAACCGACTAAAGTTAATAAATAATACCACAGATACCCTATTGCAACTTTACTACACAAACCTTGTAGGGCACCAATCCAACCCCCTACATGATGGCTGCACTCGCTCACAGGTGAACTTCTGGGGCATTATACCTACAGTGAGTGGGGCCAGAGGCAAGAGGGCATTGCAGTAGATGAAACATTTACCTTTGCACAGTAGACCATGTTCCAGTGACCAAGAGAGACCCAAGCAAATAGATCAGTGCTGCAGAGCCAATACTGGTGACACTGGCACTTTGACAGGGCAGCAGCAAGATTTTGGTTAAATGGGTGCACCAGCAAAAACACCGGATTTACTCCACTGCTGTTCCCTCACAACCCAATCTTGCCTTTGCTTCATCCTCTTAAGCGGCAGTGATGTCAGTACTGTATCAGAAGGGTAGGTCTGCAGCACCATACTGGTCACTCCTGCCAGCCATGAAAAGCCAAAGGTCTCTATAACCTGTTCATATCCACATTTCTTAGTCTTTCAGCCAGTGCAAAGCTGGAAGGGAGTGTGGCCCAGACAGAATTGTAAAGCCAGGAAAGGATTAAAGGGATGCATTCAGCACCCAGGACTGAGGTTGTCCACTCTTCACAATTTGTTAGCATCTGTAACTATTATATTTATCATAGCCTTCATTTTAATTTTCAGTAACTTTGTGTACTTAATTTGTTATTACTTTAATAAACTTTTGTTCTTCAGGATGGAAGTTGGAATTCAACCATATAAACCAGGAAGGCCATGTAGTAACTGCCCAGGAGACAGGTGTCAAAATAGACTCTGTAGTAAGTATAGTGAATGATGCCAATGTTCATGAAAAAGATTATTTAAACCATCAAATATGTTGGTTTTTGAGTTCCATTTGTATCACCTCTAGTAGGACATTCTAATGTGCTTCAGGCATGGAACGCAGGAAAGGCGAGTAGTGTTCTGGTATTCACCTCTTTGCTTTGTCCCATGCCAGTCAATCCTTTGGGGAAAGGGGAATAATTGTGCTTTGGTGCACTGTTGCAGTAGAGAGACAACAGTTGCTTCCTTCTTTAATCTAGGTGACCTAGGTTCTTTTGAGAGGGATCTCATAGGAGGTCAGTGTCTCTGGGTGCTATAGAGTACAAAGCTGCATTTTCAGTCATTCCTGAAAAGTGGTCCTTAAAATATTGTTGTCAATACTAGTACTGAGCTAGTGTAGAGAAACAAAAGGGAACATTCCATTATACCTATTAGTAGTTCTGTTCATGATTCAAGAAATCACATTCAGATATTTTACTGATTAATTGGTGTTCAGGTTTAAAGCTTTACACATGACTATATCTTATAAAAGTATGTGATTGCAAGGATACATAGAGTGCCTTTTGATTAGAGCAAAAGATAAGTGAGAAAACACAGTGCTCCCTGTTGCTAGCTCATCAAAAATTATTACGTATCTGTTGGTTACTGCATATTGCCTGTTATTACCTGTACTTTGCCCATGTCTCTGTGGTTTTGAAAGGTGTCTAATGATTGTGGTGGTAGCCACCACTGTATACCTCTGGACAAGGTATTACTGAAAACCAAATAAAATACAGTGGTACCTCAGGATGCTCCCGTTCCGGAGCCCCGTTCGCATCCCGAATGGAACGCAAGATGCAACGGCGCGTGTGCGCGGGTCACATTTCGCCGCTACCACACATGCGTCATTTTGAGCGTCTGCGCATGCGCGAGCGGTGAAACACGGAAGTAACGCACTCCGTTACTTCCGGGTTGCCGTGGAGCGCAACTCGAACGGGTTCAACCAGAAGCACATTTAACTCGAGATATGACTGTACCTTCTTCCTTTCAGCTTCCAGATTATAGAAAAAAGGTTATAGGCAGGACAGCAGATAGACTACAGTCTGAGCCTTCAAGTCATCAGTATTGGCGGGCAGTGGCGGTGGCAGAATTTCACTGTAATTTTGTTATTAAAATTGGTTACTCACCTTACTCTTAACTTAAAACCTAATAGACTTGGGGTAAGGAGGGGGGCTTTCAACTTACCAGGTATTTATCAAATAAATCACTGTACATTTTGGATGCTGAAATTTAATGGAAATGCTTTCACGTTTCCTGTCATATGGCTGAAAATAAAAACTCATAGCAAAATGCTAACATTTTTAAAGCCTTTTTTCACTTGTTACAACTATTTCCCTTTTGCAGGAAATTCTGAACGCGAAAAAGTAAACAACCGTATGTATTACATTTGTTTTATACTTTAATTTACTTAAAGAACAAAATTCAAATTCAGTGAAACTTTTTTATTTTTTAAAAAAATAGGCTATTCACGATGGCATCCAACCTCTAAATTCAAGTTTATATGTGATGACTTCTGCATCGCTGTTGCAGTTTTAAGGCCATTATTAATGTTTGTAGCATTTGTAGCTGTTTACATCTTAAAACTCCATTATCCAGGTTTAGTTTTTAATACTAGGGTAGGTTACTGAGCATATTTACATGAATGATAAAGATTATATTCCTGCATTTTATATTAAAGTAGATTTGCTTTGTTGCATTGTTTCACATGTTATTTTGTGTTTTCTCAAACTGTATAAATTTACCTGTTACATATTAATGTAATATTAAATATTTTTAAACTGGAAAGATAAATTTAAAATAAAATATATGGTTATCTTGAATATTTTGTACAAATAAAAATTAAGCGTATTAAATTGATTGGCATCTGTCTGTCTCAGGAGACAATGAAGCAGTGTGCCTTTGGGGGTGAGGTCAAGCTGTTGGAAGGTTGCATCACATGCTGTGGCTGTAGAGGCCTGTGTGGGAAAGACCAATTTTGTTGCAGCTGGGGCAAATTAAGGCGTTCAGTTGTGCTGCTGCAGATGCACATACATTTCTCCACTCACTCTTACCTCCAGTTCTATTCAATATGTATTACACTATATGAGGGAGTATTCTGTGGTGGCTTCCCATCTTTGGAATGTTGTCCCCAAGGAAGCCTGCCTGGAAATTGCATTTAATACCATTTCAGCAACAGGGAAAATATTTGTTTTCCCAGGCTTTCAAAAACTGCTAGTATAAACATTTTAACTTAAAAGAGTTTGATTTTACTGTCTATTTGAATGGGCTGTGGCTGCTTTAGTTGTTTTAACTTTATTATTATCAGTTGTTAAATTGAAGGGTTTTTAAAAATAGTTTAGTACTGTTAGCCGCCCTGGGGCCATGAATTTATGTTGAAAGTGCAGGATATAAATTATGTAAAAAAATTATTCTGTATATAATATCCATAACAAGATGTAAACTCCTTCCACTTAGATCTCCTTATAACAGCACAATTTTGGATGTATATTAAGGTAGATCAAAAATGCTTTCTCTCTTTTAGCAATGTCTCTTTTCAAAGTCTAGTTTTAAACTTTTAATTTATTTGAATGTGTTTCTCTTGGGGAGGAGTGGAGAGAGAGTGGAGCACTGGCTATCTTCTAGTCCAGGGTTTCCCAAACTTGGGTCCCCAGCTGTTGTTGGACTACAACTCCCATCATCCTTCCCTACCAGGACCTGTCCTCAGGGGTAATGGGAGTTGTACATGTTGCACATGTTGACTGAACAACAAATGCTCCCCACACCAAGAACATGAGTATTAAAGCAAAGGATTTGCCATTCCACTGCGCTGAGTCTTCAAGTTCAACTCCTCCATTACAATCCTTTTTTTGGATGCTTTGGTAGGTTTTGCTGTCCGAACTCTCTGAATTCATCTGCCACTGCAGCATTCTGACATAGCCACCTGAAAAACACTTTAAAATATATATATTAAGACCTGATAAGCATGACTTAGGCTCAAGTAGCTTCTGAATGAAATTGCTTGGGATTCTCCAGTCAAGAGTACCCACTTCCCCCGCAGCATTTCAGCTAAACCACAGTTCAGATGGATTTAACACAACCACAGTAGCCAATCGCATATGTATGGACTGCAATGGCGGGGGAGACAGAGAGGAGAGATAGAAAAGGACCCGCAAATGTCCTCTTTAAAAAGAGAGGAGAGCGGGAAGAGGCCCAGTGCACAAACCGGGAAAGAGAATCGTTCCGGAGATGGAGGTAGAGCCTCGAGAATGGCTGGTGCAGCAAGAGGTTTCTGAGCTCCGCACTTTAACATCTCGGTGCGAGTCTCGTCTGTGCAGGTGGAGCTCTGCAGCTGGTGGGGTCACAACCAAGCAAAGGAACGGCGGAAGCGTTCTAAGTGGAGGGCGGGGGTTCGGCACGGGGGCGGGAGGCAGTAGCGCCGCCTGAGGCCGTTAGGAAGCAACGGTCTCTCCGCGCGCGTCCCTAACTCCTCGCCGCAGCCATGAGGCGCTTCTGGCCGTGCGCCGTCGTGCTGGGGCTGCTCGCCGTCGAGGGCGTGCGCGGCGCGCAGAAATTCGCCACGTATCCCGACATCACCAACAGGACCTTCATCGGCGACTATATCAACGCGCACAACGATCACCGCAGCGAAGTCCAGCCCCCCGCTTCCAACATGCTGTACATGGTGGGTGTCCCGGGCGCGGGGTGGGAGGAGGAAAGGAAAGCCCTCGTTTCCAGCTGGGCGCTTAGGAGAAGGAGCTTCCCATTGAACCCGCCGCCACCTTTTCTTTCGCAGGGCTCCTTGCCTGCGGTTTAAAAAGGCAGATACTTCAGGTCACGCCTTTGGGCATTGTAAGATGACGGTCTCAGGCAGAACAACAACAAAAAAAGTTCCTTTCAGTAGCACCTTAAAAGGTAAAGGGACCCCTGACCATCTCGCTTTACTGGCCGAGGGAGCCGGCGTACAGCTTCTGGGTCATGTGGCCAGCATGACTGAGCCGCTTCTGATGAACCAGAGCAGCACATGAAAACGCTGTTTACTTTCCCGCCAGAGCGGTACCTATTTATCTACTTGCACTTTGACGTGCTTTCGAACTGCTAGGTTGGCAGGAGCTGGGACCGAACAACGGGAGCTCACCCCGTCGCGGGGATTTGAACCACCAAACTTCTGATCAGCAAGCCCTAGGCTCTGTGGTTTAACCCACAGCACCACCCGCCAACTAAGTTTGTTCTTGGTATGAGCTTCCGTGTGCGTGCACACTTCTTCAGTAACTAGGTCTCAGGCAGCTCATTGTGGTTATATCTGGGAAGGGATGAAGGACCCTGGTGAGGTTTTCTGCCTCAGATTGCGAAGTAACCGCAGCAGCTCGAGGCTGAGAATAGTCACTGGTGGTTTTCTTTTCTTTTGGCGTTAACGCCCTTTGACCCGCCTCTGAAAGCTGTATGCGTAATTCACATGGTAGAATGAGAATAGATAGCTGGCTCTTTAAAAGCCCGGCAGGTATTATACTTACTGGTGCCAGTGAGTAATATTTAAGTAAAGGGTCTACCAGTGTGAGAGATAAGATCATAAAGGGAAGGCAAAGTGACTAACATTAAAACCAATTAAGCACATTCAATAAAACCATCTAAAAACATAACTAAACAATTAAAAGGGGGCAGAACTTGTTTGTTTTAGTGAGACTGAAGACGTGTTATCCATTAGAAGTGGGAAATGTTATTCAAAGCTGTGTGCATGATACTTTTCTGTTTTGCAGAGTTTTGATCTAGGTTTAGCTAAAATAGCGAGAGCATGGGGACGGAAATGCATTTTTGGACATAATCCAAACAGAAAAGTCCACCCTGAAATTAAATATCAGCCATTTGGAGAAAATATATGGCGGGGATCTGCCTCCAGCCAACCATTTGATGCTGCTGCTGCCATTAATGCATTTTACAGTGAAGTACAATACTATACCTACGATGACCACACATGTTCCAAAGTATGTGGTCATTATACTCAGGTAAGTTTCATCTTCATCTGCTTAGAAAATTTTAATCAAAACTTAAAGAACTTGAGTAATTTGAGACTCTGGATGCTTCCAGACTGTCATATTTTGATGTGATTCAGTCACATCCTGGCAAATTCAAGCTGTGCAATTAAAGTTAATTTGGAGCTCTTGCAAAAAAAAAACCCTGCTTCCCCAAAATACTAGACTTTTTGCAGTCAGAAAAGTGATGGGGAAATGCCCTGGAAAGTGAGGCATAACATTTGCTTCACACAATGCTGTCTAATAATCTCTCCACAAATAAATCAGGATGAATGCTAAATAGCCAACACTATCAAATCTTCAAACAAATCAGGTTGAACATTCATTAAACAGGCCATCTGGAAGTGACCTCTGTAATCATACTTTGTGAAATAATCATATTCCTACCATCACAATAGAAACTGCTTACTTATAAAATGCATTGAATGCTTGAAGTTAATTGACAACTTTCAGAAAAAGGTCCCCACTTCAGTTTCAGTTCTGTAGGGTTTTTTGAATTGCTAGAAGTTCTAACATCTATAAAAACTCTCAGCTACTAGCAATGGGCCAGCACTAAGTGTTGCAGGGCTTATGCATGGCAAGTTCTTACCATGAGAATTAAAGGCAAATTGTCTTAAGACAACCCTTCTTTTAATGTCCTGTTCTGCTTTTTGCAGGTGTGTAGTTTACCCATGCAAAAAGCAACAAAGGTATAATTTACAAAGAAATGACCCCCTTGGTCATGACACACAGCAGACAAACAACTCCAAAATAAATATTAAACATTTGTTTGTAGTACTTTTGTACCCCTTGTTTGTTAAAGTTGCACAAAGCAGTTTGATAATACTGATTAACAACTGTAACAACCCAAATTCAGTAGAAATAATTGCTAAGCTATCAGCACAAATTACTGACAAATAGGCCAGGAAGCCTATTTGTTTTATTCAATAGCCATGCTATTATTCTAAAACAAAGCATTAAAAGTTAGTGTGTGGATCTGTTGAAGTTTGGTAGGGCATGATATTTCCTAACAAATGTCTCTTTGTAACACAACATACTGAGTTTGTAGCATCCTTCTCTATCAATTGCATCAAAATCAATAATAATTAAATATTCAATTGGGGATAGTGTTCTGTTGCTTTATATTGGAGAACCATTATTTTATCCTCACAAATATTTTGGTTACATATTTCCCTGGCACAGGCAATGATCAACACAGTTGCTCACCTTGAGCAATGAATGAGCAATGAATATTTACCGTAATTTTAGATACTATATTTCCATTGCTCAAGATGAGCAGAAATCATATGCCATTTTACATCATAACTGTCAACTTTTCCCTTTTCTTGTGAGGAATCCTATTCGGAATATGTTTTGCATATATATTTTAAGAACATAAGACAAACACCCGTGGTCCATCTAGTTAAGCATTTTCACAGTGACCAACCAGATTAGGGTACTTGAATATAAGCTTTGAATTCTTATATAATATAAAGATGCCTGTAGCCAAATGCCAAGTGAGGGCAGGAATGTGGAGAGAAGCTGATTGCTAGAAATGGTAACTATTAACACAACTTGTACCTTTATCTTATATAATAAAACATATCCTTTCCAGGTTGTTTGGGCTGATTCTTACAAGGTTGGCTGTGCTATTGTTTTCTGCTCTCGAGCGACAGATGGAGAGAGAAATATTTTGCATTTCGTGTGCAATTATGCTCCAGCGTAAGTTAACAAATGCTAAAGAGATTGTGTTGACACTTAAGGTAAGGTAAAGGTACCCCTGCCCGTACGGGCCAGTCTTGACAGACTCTAGGGTTGTG